GACGCATTGATTTCATACCCGGGTTATCAGGCATTGTAGCAGTCTAGACGAAAATATATAACTATTGCTCAGCTTCCCAAATGCTGGCCGAAAAATATTTTCGTTTAAGCCCAGTTTTGAGTTCAGCCCTGCTACACTCTCGTGCTGATTTCTCGCTCGGAGTTCTCTTTACCTAATCGCAGTATTTGCCAACGCCCTAAAGCCTTCATCCAAATCAAATAATCCAAGAGCTATACTTACGCTGAATATCTTTAATACATTGACGAAGACGAAATTGTGACAACTCTCAAACAACTTGGACATGGGAAGGCTCCCGGTGAAGACGGAATCACTTCTGAGCTCCTTAACATAGCAAGGGTATATGTACTTGGAGTGTCTAAGACATAAGTAGATTAACTTTTTAATATGACAATTCATTCCATTGTTTTAAAAATATATATACGATTATATCAAAAGTCTTACATTTTCATTTCATTTTGTTACTAACAAAATTGGTGCCGAAAACTAATTTAAATGCAAACATTAATTATTACAAGCTTAATACAATATTTCACATTTACATTTTTTTTTTAATTTTACAAAAAAGTAAAGTGTAAAAAAGTAATTGTTTCTTGTTGGAGCGCTTCTTATAGTGTTTCTACAAAATGAGTGAACAAGAAAAGGAAAAGAAGCGTCTCCTGGTGCTGAGTAGTCAGTGTAAAGCTAGTGTTACACGGCAGGAAAATTATCTAAACGAAAATGTTACAACTATTACATTGGAAGATTTGGAAGTTCGAATAAAAATCATCGCTGACGTTTTATTAAAATATCAGGACTATCAAGCGCAATTGAATATTATTGATAAAACTATTTCTGACTATGACGTGGAGGAGCGTGTTATAATCTTAACAGCAAAGATACATCAGCTATTGAAAGGATTAACAAAAAAAATCATTGCCTAAATACAACGAACGAATGAAGAACTAAAGAAATTATATAATTTCGTCATACATAGACAATGTGACTACACCAGAGACGTGCTGTGGTGGCTATGTTTTAAAAAAAAAGAGCCATATGTAATACAACATAAGTTGTTATCGAGAATCATTTCAAATCTGCAAGATTAGACGCCTATCAGTCATCGGAACAGGCTGAGTTTCAGAAAGGCTACAGTACCGTAGATCACATACACACACACACACACCCGGTTTATGAATTGAGAATTTGAAGTTGAACATTTTAAACGTCAATTAAACAGGTTTTCATCACTGATTTATGATTTTTTAATGATCAATTGATAGGTATTTGATAAAACTAAGACTTTTTGCCATATGAACCATAAAAAATTTAGTTATTGAGAATAATCAGTTGAGATTTTGTGCTTTTCTCAATTCAGAAACCGGCCGACAGTGAGGCAAGTTATACAAAAGTGTCAGGAGTATAACCAACCGTTGTTTAGACAATTTTTACGTGAAATTACCAATAACATTCATTCAGTATCTTTAAAAACGGCACGAACGCAATCGGTACCATTATCAAATGGTTGAAGCGTGAAGTTAGTAAAAATCTTTCAAAATTCAAATTGCGATATATTTTAAAATTTGATAATTAGGTCTCTGTATGCAGTGTGTAAATTAATACATCCTAAACTGCGCCTGTTCTGTTAACAACAAACGATTATGAAACATAATAAAATACCTACACGTGCCTAATTATTTTTTTCACTGCGCTAACCACCATTTATCGTGTTCCGATGACGTACGCATCTGGCTTTGGCCCATAAAAATCAACATCTAATTAACGAACTAAAACTAACAAAAAAACCGTTCACTGTTTGTGGGAATTAAATAAATAAAATAGCCTTTTATTTCTTGCCATTTACATGATTGATTAAGAATGAGATTTATTGAAATTATATTTAGTGATTTCTTTGTGTATTAATATTATTATATGACATATAAAAATTGATATTAATTAATTGTACAATAATTTTTTAGCATATGAATTAAATAGCCATAATAAAATCTTCTTTGTAATGCACACATAAGTATGTATGGTAGGTATATTTACAATATTTAAGTTACATATATTTAATATTAAAAATGCGAAGTGTATGTGAAGGATTTCATTAATCAAACGTACAACCTTATTTATTGCACAGTATCGATCGACGCTTTCAGTTCATTTGCTGTGACAGACGGACATACAGATAGATAACCGAGTGATCTCTTATTTTTTATTAAAAAATATGAGGGTTTCGTTTGCCTGTATTATTAAACGGTGTACGCGGTATCGGTCGCGAGTGTGTACCCGGGTCAAAATATGCAAAATATAAAAACCTTATAATGTAAAATTAATAATATGTCAAATAATACAAAATTTACATATTTCTCTAAACAATTTTAAAATTTAACATTTAAATTGAGTTTAAAGTATTGATAAAATAATATCATCAAGCGCAGACTATAATATTAGAAAAGAATTCATTCAAAAGAAACATTTACTAAATTTATACAATTATAAAATTACTCAAACTAACTTCCTAAAATTATTTTTCCTGTTAATAATATGCATTGCAGTCAATATAAATTCAAGGTAACTTTTTTATTTTAATCAACAACTAGTGTACGATCTAAACTGGTTTTTACGACCGAAACCGAAACCGAACTCGAACTTCGGCAACAGTCTCAATTTCGGCCGAAACGAAACATCTTGACGAGGATCGATTTTTTGAAGAAAAGATAAAGAAAACGTTATTATAATCAGTCGGTCTTTATTTTTATCCGACTGCAAAGGAAGGGTTATGTTTTTGTCGCGCGTATCTTTAATGTGTGTGTATCTTATTCCTTATTACTTCACATCTCCAGAACTACTAAACGGATTTACATACTTGAAGTATCGTTAATTTAATTTAGCAATCCAAGTGCTCAAGATAGGTGACGTTAAGGAAAATAAAACAAGGCGGCCGTGCGATGTGATAAAACATAACGAATTCAAAATAACACCAAAACTCACAACAATCAAAACACAAGCCAATGACGACATGGTTAGCCACGAAGACGCGGTAAATGTCTTCTTCACCGATTCGATCGAATTCAATGCGCCGAACAATACCAACCGATCAGAGCGCTAGATCGCTCGAATGCAGTTTCGGTTTAGGTCGTAGTTTCGGCAGGTTTGCCACCTAGACCGAAACTCGATGGAAACCGAAACTGAAACCGAACATTTGGTCCGACACTATCAACAACATAAAAAATACAATGCTGGTACCTACTACATGTTAAAAATATATAAGTAGTAAGCTTCCTAAGACAATCAATTTTTGTACAAATGTTTTCTGTGTACTTGTACTGTCAAAATTGTGTACCTTTCTGTTACAGCGTTAAATATTTTATTAATTGTTATCTATGCTACGAACAATCCACCATATTTGTATTTGTAATGTAGAACATATAGATGCTTCTTTTCTGGTTACTTGACTAATAAGCAGTGGTCGGAATTAGGTAGAGCTATTCATGTACTTACACTGATTTCATACAGCGAAAGAATAAAGTGGATATGCCTCAAATCCCGAGATTAATTTTAAAGAGCAGAAAATATCCCGTGATTTAAATTAAATAAAAAGTTATTTACTTTTACACAATTTAAACTACTGCATGCATGACATTGCCAAACTTACATCAATGACATTGGATGTCCAAAGAATTAGAAATTGTCCATTAGAAATCCCGGGAAGGTCCACATTAATATCAACATTTCGATGCAAGTACATAAATAACTCTACCTAATTCCAACCTCTGCTCATAAGACATCACAGGGTAGGATGGGAAAACTGGGATTCTGGAAATAGAGGAATTAAATGAATTAGACCATCAACAAAAACTTCAGCGCTTTTCCACTGACATAAATAGATAAATGATCCTAACATGATTGGATTGGATTTGACATTTTATTATTGCAATAAATAGATTATAAAAAATATTAAAATCCAACACAAAATACTTTTGCATGCTTTTTCCCACTTAAAAATGTTACAATATTCTTTACATTCTCTAGCATTTTCTCATTTAGGCCTGAGCGAATACTAAGTGTTACAATAATTTAATATCTTAACTTCACCAAATAAAATGAATAGCATGATCTTGAGTATATGTTTATTTTCCCGACTAAACAATACAATGCTGGATTACTGATCGGATAGTTCCAGCTGTAGTTGAGATTTAAAAATAGTTTACATTATCATAAATCCAGATGGTATATTATTATTAGACAACTGAGTCCAGAAATACTCCTTACTTAAATGTGTACAATGTACACGTAGCAACATGTCATGTTGCGACAAAATAATGAATTCTGTTATCAATATTAAAATTTATAAATAATGCAGATATAAAGTTTTAAAATTGGTCCAAGTAATTATAGGCTGTACTAAAAAAATATTTTCTGTTGCTGCCATTGGGAATAAAAAATTATGAAGTTCCCTTTGTTGTGAGCGATTTCAACTATTAAATTTTTTTTTTATTTTATTTTATAAAATTATATAATAAATCTCTAAAAATTTTTTTTGACACAGAAATATTAAAAATGAAATAGTGATAAGAATAATAATCAACTATACATCCCCAAAAATTAATCAATAATACATTAACTCCCAAAAATTAACTTGCATAAAAATATTCTAACAAGAATCTTGTTAGACAATGTATTAAATGAACTTAATCTGTGCACCTTTTTCTTAAATGAAACTAAATGGTTAAGTCGACCTCTATTGTTACTGAATACAATACTTAGTAGGTACCTTTTGCCAACAAACCTAGCACAGTCCATTTATGCCATTCTACTGACACATAACCGTGATATGGCATTTCGCAGACCTAAACCATCGGTTTATCATAAACAATATCGACAGCCAATACTGATTACAACGCGCCTCCACATTGTAAACAAATGGTATATTTTTAATTTTCTCAACAAATATATAACAGTACACTTAAAAACTATACAAACAGCAAAGTGCTTACCATATAAAATCCTTGCAGTGGCTGCAGAACGTGGGCTGCTTGAAGAACCTCGGCATAAACTTGTGATCTTTCACCAGGTAAACATTCTTCTTTTTCAAAGCACCTTTGCGACCTCTTAGGCGGAACGCCTGGTTGATCTTCATTTCACCACCACCGTCATCACAATTATTATCCTCGTCCGCCATGGTTACACGCGTTTAGGAGGACGCCGATGGATTTAGAAATAACTCGCAAAATAAATCGCTACACTACGCGACCCGTATGAACAAAACCACCGTCCTCAACCGAACGTCATTGCGCTTTGTCAAGCAAACAGTTGGGTGACCGACCAATGGAATAGAATCTATTGAGCTGTCAACGTCAAATGAAAATTTCATATGAATGTTACCAGCTGCGTTGTCTATTTTGGCATAATTTAAAGTACAGTTACTCTATAATATATGTTTGTAACAGAATTGTATCTATTAATTAGAAGTAAACTTATATACTCCGTTCCTACATCAGTTGAAAAACGGACAATGACATAAAATATTAACGTATTGCTGCCTATCCATTTTTGTCCCTTTATCTCGTTCTGCGTAATCCTGCCTATTGTTTGTAGGGGGTAGTGTAGTTGTAGTACCTAAAGAATTAATTTTGAAATGGTCAAAAAACTTTATTAAATATTTATTTAATTAAAATTTACATTAGAAAATATTCTTTTGATCTTCTTCGATCAACAATAGACGCTCAGTCTCTAAAATGACCGAAGACATATCGCCTCGCTTCAAAGTGCGGTCTTATTTTGTTTTAGTTTGTTTTTGATGGCGCTAACTTTCGGACCTGTTACCATGCCACAGTACGTATTAAAACTTTAAATATAACTATTTTGTTTTTCGGTCAAGGAGCGTTCTTCACAATTTAGGTAATCATGCACGTATGAGCCAATTACTTAGTGCCACACAGATGTGATGTACGCACGTATCGCACGTAGTTTTTATTTATTATTCTGGTTGAAGGCACTTCACTTTATTTTACTAACTGAACTTATATTTTGTAGCTGAAGTGTTAGTGAAAAGCAATAAACCTTTACGCATAGTGTAAAACAATAAATAATTACTATGTTAGATACCCTCCAATCCGCATTGGGCCAGCGTGGAGGGTCGTGGCCCATCCTCCTTAACCATCCATAAGGAAGGCCTGAGCCCCTACAGTGGGGACGTAAAAGGGTTGATGATGATGTTAGATATTCAATATATTATGCCTTGCCTATTAACTCAGACTAATAAATTACTCAAGACCAAAGAAGGGCAAAGTGATAATAAGATTATGAAATCACCATTTTCAATAATTACCGACAACATGAATAATCAGGATTACATTTTGATCAAATGAGCATACTGATGGAAATATCCGACGAAAATTTTGAAAAGTTATTTTTATTAAAGTATTCGGTAAATATTTACTATAGTGGAAACATTCTTAAGTAATATTCGTTCAGGAATATGTTTTACTTAATAAACATAAACAGTACCTACCATAGATTTATAAACGGTATATTGTAGTAAGGACACGAAGAAATGTTACGGTATTCTAAAACATTTATTTAATAATCAATATATAATATAATGTTCTCATATCCGAATCTAAATAATTAAGATCAATTTCTGTCCAAGTTCAGTCATACATGTAGATAGAAGTCGGCATTGACATTGACAGTTAACGCCAAAGTCAATTAAATTTGACGGTGGCCGTTAAAATTTTTAATCCGAGACGCGTTGATGAAGGTTCTGTTTACTTCAAATTTATTAAATCAATGAACGAATAAGGTGGAAATGCTTATTTTCATTGAACAATATCATTAAAATTTAATACTGCGGCTTTGCAATATATAATCGTTCAAGATGAGTTCAGAAAATTCTGATTCACGGCCAAATATAACGTTGTCGTTGGTGGCGCAATTTGATGATATAAACCGTTTGAATGGGGTCCTAAACGACGGAGCTGCTGAAGAATGTGAGTATCTTGTGTATAGTATTCTGTCTTATGCAGAGTAGAATTAAACGTTAAATACTGTCTTTTCATTCAATGCATACCTACTTAACATTTTTTTTAATGATGAGGTACCTACTTCTTTATTTATTCTTCAGGTTTCCTAGCATTTGTAAAGCAAATGGAGTGGGTGCGGTCACAATGGGCTTCGGCTGAAGCTGAGGCTGTCCGACTGCAGACAGAATTGGATGAGGCACACAAAACACTTGCCAAATGGGAGGCAAAATTTGCACATGTCAGGAAACTGCTTGACGGAGAAAAGAGAGAGCGCAACATTGTGATGAAGAAATACAATGAACTGGTAAAAATATGATATAGGGTTCAGTTTACTAGTAGCAAAAACGGGCTATCTTATTTACAATTCTTATTCTGAAGGGGTCTGAAGGTAAAACTTAAAAAAAATTTCAAATAACTAGAAAGATTCAATGCTTAACACTACACTAAAGAGATAGGAGCAATCATTTGACTTCAATATGAATTTTAATATTTGTATAAAAATAAAATAAATTTGTGCAAGAAAATGAATAATTGTGTCTGTAGTTTGATCTGCAGTTGTCTTTGTAGATAGACAAGTATTGCAGTCTTTTATTTTGCCGCTGAGTCAATAGAATCAGGATTTAAACATCCTCAGGACTAGTTGAAAGTGTAGCTTCTGTAGATGCTTTGTGGAGGAGTATGATATGTGTAAAGTAGTAGTGGTGCAAGAGTTGTTGCTTGTGTAAAAACATTTATTCAGAGATGCACATATATTTTTTACATAATTGTTCTGTTATTTCTTTTGTTTGCAGAGTAAACTTCTGGAAATGGCACGAGATCTCCTTTTTAATGACAACCGCAACAAACTCAATGATGAAACCCTCCAAAAACTTGCATTCCTCAATGGTACAGCTCAGCAAGACCACAATGCGAAACTTAGTGGAGTGCCTGAACTGAATTCCACTGGTAAGTTGTTTAACATTTTATTTGAATTCTTCTTTACTTATATTCAATGCACACATTAATTGATACTTATCTCGGCCTTTCTATGTTTGTTGTATTCAAAACTTCAAAATATAATATATTTTTAATAATAATTTATATGTTATCCAGATTACCCGCATTACTTATTCATTATATTACCTACATTACTTAAATCAAGTTTAACACTAGGAAAATGGCAAAATTGCACACAATTATTAGTTTTGTATGTCCTCCTTTAAGGTTTAATGGCACCTTTAAGCTCTAATGAATGTCACATTTGTATGGGTAATGTCGCTTTTAACGGGTAATGATGACGTTTGTGCAACTGACCATTAGTATATTAAATAAATTACTTAATTAGAATCACATGAGTTTATTTGGCTAAATAGCCAGTCTACAAGTTCATTAACATTTTTTATTATAATCATGTAAAAAGTACCTATATAAATCATCAATACGACAATGGTTAAAGGGAATTTTATCTTCAGGAGAATCATTAAGAATACTAAAATTTTTTCTTCATTAGGTACTTTGTTATCTGAAATGTCATATTCCCGATCTGAGGACGACTTGGATATATCCTTGGCTTCTACTCGCCGTTCCTGGGTGCAGCGTGGTGGGTGGACTGCCAGAGATAATGCACCGGTATCAAAGAAACGACGGTCATCCACATCATCTGCTACTAAGGTACAACTTCATTTTGACGTTGGAATAAAACCTTGATGAAAAAAAAGTAATTCTGTTTAGTCTGTCAGTTAGAGAATAGAAAAATAATAGATATGTATTTCTTTTGCTTAATTTAACACGAAATGGCTTAGATAATAGGCATTAAAGTTGAAGAGGTGAAGGCGTGACGTCATGCGACATTTAATTTCAATGTGTCGCTGTAATTTATTGATTACATTGAAAATAAAAAAGTATGATAATATTCTTCAATAATTCGACAAACAAACCGACAAAAATCTGTCATCATCCCTTTCAAATAATTATTTATACTCATATTTTTAATATATATTTTGATCTAATTCATATATTTCTAGTCCTATCTGAAAGTCAGCCACAAATCTTAGCATTATATTTGTGACTGACTTTCAAATAGGACTTGCCCATATTAGCTATTATTATTGACAAGTGGTCCTTGTATTACCAATTGTCAAAATTCAGATACTAAGTAAACAAAAGAGCCAAACTCATGGTAGTGTGTATAAAAATACGCATTTTTTTTACTAATTCAATATACTGTTTTAAGCTTCATTATAAAAATAATATTAGCATTTACCACTTGCCAACATATTATTTTTCCAAATTTCAACGTCGGCCATTTGTATAATTTTCATAAAAAAGAGATCCAAGTTTTTCCGTCATGCATAATGATAACATCAAAGCTGTATTATATTTAGTTTTATCTATCATATGTAACTAAAAGTTATAAAATGGACAAACAAGGAACTCACATTTTTTTGAATAGTTTATTCTTGGTTGGATGCTTGTCCTTTAGCCGAAAAAATTCCTAGGAACTCACTTTTTTTCTGTGTTGCCAACAGACTGTTGAATTACAAGGTGGCAAAGTGCTGGCCACTGCCACCACTACTCTGACGTTAGAGCGCGCGCCCACCGGTCACGATTTAAAACCACCACAGAATTTCGTAAGTTTTACCTATATTGATATTCTATTCTACCACAAGGGATGCATCTGAAGTAGACTTTTGAATGGTAGATATGTACTAATCGGCGCGCTCCGCGATCGTTGTTGTTAAGCAACTTTCGCGAGGGTCAGTCACGCGATGGGTGGTATTATATCGAGTTACTCCGTTATTCAGAAGGCACGTTAGTCCCGGTTGCGTTTGCAGTCGTTAACGCCCACCAATCCGCATTGGCCATCGCGGAGGGTCATGGCCCATCCTCGTAAACCATCAATATGGAAGGCTCCTTCACGCCTCCACAGTTTTTTACTTATAATGGGAACACTAACTCCTCTCGTAACTCCTGTTCAATGATTATAGTCGCTATCTTTTGACGTCATAAGTGTAACCACTCAAATGTTAATACCATTAGCGCTAGTGATGCACATTAAGAGTATTAAACACCACACTTCCAATGTATTTCGATCGCGATGCATTTCAAGAGAAAATCTACTGGACTTGAGTATAACTGGGTGTGAAAGTTGCTTAATCATAGCTTCTCATTTACATCAATGGTCTTCCACCAAATAGCGCCTGATTCTATTTGATACTTTAATCTGAGCTATAGCGGACTGGACAACTTTGGTTTAAATTAATCAGTATGCTTATTCCCACAAAAAATACAATTTTATGTAAATTTATCTAAACCTAAATTAATCAGTATGCTAATTCCTACAAAAAATACAATTTTATGTAAATTAACCTAAACGGCGACTCGGACGACGTGACGTAATTTGTGGGGTAAGTAATATATGCATATGCAGTTCTTACATTCTTATATTCCGCCAGTGGCTTCGCCTGTGTGTTCCCTAGGGAACTGTTTATTTGGATATCAATTAATATTATTAGTAAAAATTGAATAGTAAACAATGGTTACTATGGTAACGTTTTAGTTCTTTATACAAACTTCCACTCCTGTTTTCATCCCTTTATTTGCTATTTCGCGAAAAAATATGTCCACCGCATATGATGTGACTTCCCGTAGGTGAAAGAATTTTAAAATCGATCCAGTAGTTTCGGAGACTAATTCTTAATTTATTTCAAAAAAATTTTCTTAATTTCAAACATATCAACAAAACTCAAAAATGAACCTCGTAAACTGTTAAAAATCCAGTTATAACCAACCCACAAATGACGTCACGCGCCCTGATTGGTCTTTCATTTGACATGAGACACAGACTATAAATATAGGAAAATTAAATTTGTTGTTTTTTGATTTCAAATAGAAAGAATTTTTATTAATCAAAAATATTTGAACAATAATAATCTTTAAACTTTATGATTACATTTATAATTACAGAAAATAATGCAGTTATAATAAAACAATATTTTGTGTTACTTTAAATTGAAACCTAATTTTGATATAGTTAAGATAAAATATATTAGTTGTGAAATCTAACCAAAGAACTTATTTAGAGTCATCATTGCGATTTTTCTCTATTGATCCGATTATTGAAAATAATGTTTCTGTTTTTGGCAAGCAATCAATCCTATGTTTTATTTCCATAAAACTATTTTTATTTGGCAAATATTAGCATTGTTTTAGAATAAATTCGATTTTAAAAAAGGTAATTCCGTACAACCTCGTTTTGATTCGTTTGATTTAGGAACCTATATCGGAGAGCAGCGACGAGGCGCCGGCGCCGCGCAGGTCCACAACCCGCATATCTGTACACGAGAGGCACGTGGAACCGTGCACGCCCACAGCTCCACCTAAGACTGGTAACTATATTATATGAGAACTTATATGGAACTTAAGATTTCCCAACTATACACCTATTCAGGTGTAAAATATAATGTCAATTTTTATGTTTTTTAATACAGTCTGCTAATTATTATTATTTTTTTTATAAAAATCTTTAAACAGTGTACAGAATTCATCAATCAACCAACGTCAACTGTGTAGCCAAATTATTTCAGAATAAAATAGTTATGACATATGAACGGACAGATAGACAGACACAATTAACCCTAGCAAGAGAGAAAAAAAAGATGTGATAACTATTTATAGTAATGGATGCAATGTAGAAAGTGCTTCTGATCACAATATTACCTGCTAATTAATTTAAAAATCATATAAATAACATACTTTTAATGCTTATTTTAAGGACCGCAATGCATGGAATTAATAGCCTTTGCTTTGTTCTACACTGTATATATACTATGTTTGCTACATTTATAATTGTTTTTTATTCATAGCAATAATACTTTTTTTGGTAATGACATATATAATGTAAATATTGTTAGTTCTGATGAAGAACTGATAGGTTCTTTCGCTTGTTCTTCTTGACAGCTAAAAGACGTCTTGCAGACTAATTCTTCTATACTCTTTTTAATGTACATGGACGACACCAGATTAACTTTATTACAATTATTAAGTCAGTAGTTACCAATTGTAGTGTTAATAAACTAAGTGTAAGGAATGAATGAACTTATCTGATTTTAATCTTGCAGTAAAAGTTACCTACACCATGGCGCTTAGCCAGTGATTACGCAGGGCGTAGTGTATAAAAACTATATTTATCAAAAAAAGTATAAAATTTCATTGGTATTATAACATAGCTTGTTTTGATAATTATCGTAATTTCAGTTAAGCGAATCTTTATTTGTATTTAGTTTTTGTATAAAATAAGAATGGAAAAATATTATTTTATCAATGTTTTAAAATAAATAGATGATTTAAAGGAAATAAATGATATTTCAAACCTGCTAAACAATGATCCTATTTCTTTCTTCTACTCTAGATAAAGCTGAATTTCACTGTCAAACTTTAGAATTAAAGAGTCTCAGTTTGACAGGGTATAAAAGTGTCTCTATTTCATTCACCAACTCATTCTAATTACTTTAAAATTCATATGTATTGCCATAACTCGCGCGTTAAATCGGGCTTAAGGAAGGTATTGTTAAACCGAGGATTCTCCATGTTTATTAATAAAATTGCTAAAACGAAGTTTCTACTCTGTTACTCTGAAATCGACTAGTCCAAGTATAACTTTAAATAAGTCTAAGAACATGTCATTTTTATTAATAAGCCTCAGCCATCGCCTTAATGTCGCCTGCCTGTCCGTCTTTTATAGGATGTACTACGGGGAGTGTGATCGGGAGCTGCATGAGCTCATTCCGCCGTCACCTTTTTACCATCGGCAATCTAGACGCACGGCGGGATACCATCCACGTTTAGTTGATATCCCGAGATTCCGTACAAAGCGGTTATCTTCCTCTTTTTTACTGCGCACCGCCAAGGAGTGGAACACCTTGCCGGCGTCTATATTCCCGAGTACATATAACCCAGTCCTATTTAGGGCAAGAGTGAATAGGTTCCTTCTAGGCAAGCTCGTCCCACCGTAGATCTCATCTATGTCCTTGGGCTAGATTGAGGTCAAGAGTGAGCCTATTGTTAATAAAAAAAATAAGACTGAATCTCTACGAATAACGGCATTTTACCACTGTACTATGTACCTAAATTCGAATATTGTAATGTCTCCCTCGCACGTCAATGCCCCGTTTAAGCGGGGAATTCACTAGACAGGCATGAATAAGGATATTTTATATGAATATATAAAATATCCTTATTTATGGAAGGTTAAAAACAAGGAGTTTATGTAATAAGAATTAATATGTAATATGCACTGATCACACAACCAGTCACTTGGTGCGTCGAACACCAACTGTGTAGTGTGTTGTGAACGACGGACATGCTCGGCAGACTTGCCCGCGGGCATGCCTGTCTAGCGAATGCCCCGCTCTAGCCGTTAACGTTGCCCGCTAGATTCGGACAGTGTGTCGGACAGTCCGCGCGTGGCGCCGCAGCGCACGCCGTCCGTGGTGTCCGCGGCGTACGGCGGCTCCCCGCGCGCGCGACTCCGCCAACACAACTTCGTCGCCAAGAACTTCTACAAGCGCGAGACGTGCGGACCGTGCGGGAAAACGTGAGACACTCGCTTATACCATTATATACATTTTATATGTTAGTAGATGTCCCGGCAGACCTTATGATGCCTTATCCGTATACAAAATTCCATAAACATCCGTTCGGTAGTTTTTGCGTGAAGATTTAACAAAACAATATTATTTACTCCTTAGTGTATGAGGTTCTTCTTCTTCTTCTTTTATTAATGGCTTATCTGCGCATTTCGCACAATTCTGCCAATGTCAAGTGAATAAATAAATTTCTACATGTAAAATGAAAATGAAATGAATGAAAGATGGCGATGATCGTGTATGAGGTTAAATTATTTCATAATTGATTTTGATATATTCATATCGTGACACGGATATAATTTGAATTTTGACAAATGGAATAGTAAATAACTATGGTAACAATTTAATTTCCTATACAAACTTCCACTCCCATTTTCATCCCTTTATTTGCTGTTTTTCCAAAAATTCATGCAATAAATTAACGAACTAAATATTGTAACAATATATTGAGGATTATTCATAAATTCCTTTTGTGCTATCTATACATTCGATTTTCATATAACGTCACGCGGTTGTTATTTAGACAAGTTTCCCGCGCATTAGCAATTTACCCGGCTTATATTACAATTATTTTTTCGTGAATTCAATGTTGCTGCCACAGTAAAAGTTGTTCAGCAAGTTAAATATTCATCAATCCCATGAAGTCCTGGCTTTTGATAATATGTATTAAACCTCATATATGTTATGTGGCAGTATAAAGTTCGCCAAGGTAGGCGTGAAGTGCGAGACTTGCCGCGCGCAGGCGCACCCCGAGTGCCGCGCGCTGTTGCCGCTGCCGTGCGTGCCGCCCGGGCCCAACGCGCGCCGCCCGCCCGCGCAACAGGTACGAACTAGGGTAACTGGAGCGTATTACTGATGTTGTTCTCTCAGTTCTGTTACACTGGTCAATGATTGGGGGCGATGTCTGTGGTTAATTTTGCTTAAGTCGGTCATTGTTATATTCACCGATGAGATGAGCCCGAGGTCGATTGAGACTGTTTTGAATGAATCACAAAAGCTATTGCGATTAGCATCATCATCATCAGCCCTTTTTACGTCCCCACTGCAGGGGCTCAGGTCTTCCTTGTGGATGGTTAAGGAGGATGGGCCATGACCCTCCACGCTGGCCCAGTGCGGATTGGAGGATGATTAGCATATTTTTCGATTTGGATTTTTTTTCTTTTCGATAGGAGGGCGATTAGCATATTTTTCCGTAAAACTACATAGTGACTTTATTTTATTTTTTAATAATAGTGTGGCACATCTGTTTTATAATCTTTGTCGACCACTCTGTGGCAACGTAATCTATGATTTTGTATTTTGTAAGTGGCACTTCAACATCAAATAGTCTGAAAGTAAACTCATAACTGTGAACACGTTTATTTATTTTACCGATCCTTCGTATAAATAGAGTCAGATAGTAAACTTATCAATAAGTTAAATATCAACCTATATACTAATAAATAAAACACATAACATTTCAGTAAAGTGGTGACCCAATACAATAATCGGTAAAATAGTATTTGTGTTTGTAAGAAAAAGTGAAGAGAAATATTAAATAATTAATTTGTGAATCTGATATTCTCCAAGATTTGTCCCATTTTTTATTTGTTTTGATTATTTTTAGCTATTAGCACGTTTCATGTTCTTGTGAATTACTTTATGGTGGAAAATTAATTGATTTAAGACATTGTTTATATTTTTATTTAATAGTGTAAAATTATTGTTTGTTTCAAAAATACTAACAAATTAAAATTATAATAATTTTTATTTTAATTATATTCCCATAAAAAGAGTAAAAAAATTGAATTTAAGACTAACTTTTTGATTTTTTTCTGTAGAGAAAGACCCATTGAACCATTGACCCGTATTTGAACAATGTTTCATTCGCGATTCTATATTGGAAAATATTTTATGCATCTTGTTAAGAAGATCACGACACCTTGCCACTCAGCAATTTGATTTTTGTAAGCCCAATATAAATCCCCTTAATTGATTTTGGACAAACATTGTTTGTAGGAGGGTTGTATATCGGACTATGCGCCCAGCACACCTCCCATGGTGCCCGCGTTGTTGGTACATTGCATCAACGAAGTGGAAAAGCGCGGTCTCAACGAACGCGGCATTTATCGCATTAGCGCTGTCGACAAGGACGTCAAAAGACTTAAGGTAATATAATATAACTAGCTTTCCGCCGGCGGCTTCGCCCACGTGGTCTTGTATTGTACATAAAAACCTTCCTTTTGAATCACCCTATCTATGAAAAAACCGCATCAAAATCCGTTGCGTAGTTTTAAAGATTTAAGCATACATAGGGATTTAGGGCCAGATAAAGCGACTAGGTTTTATACTATGTAGTGATACGGGTGTAGAGAGTAAATGAAAATAAATACTTTTTTTTTGGTAGTGTTCAATACACTATTATAGATTATCACACTTTCATGCTTATCTATAATATATTACATAATATTGCTTAAATTAGTTATAATAAAAAAAACAAATGTTTTATGCTCGTTGTCACGTGACCGCAAACTGCTCGTGACGTCACGCCCTTACTCATATCAGAACTTGGAGAGTTCAAAGCATAGAACGATATAAGTTTCAGAGGGCCGTGACGTTATAGTGACGCCATGACAGAAATGGCGTTTTGGTGGGAAATTTTGAAAATTATATATTTTTAGATATATTTATATATATATTATATATGTTGCATAGTAAAATTTGGTCAGTATATTTTTTTATTTAACTCATCCACCCCAGGAAGTAGTGACACACAATAATATTATACTTTATATAAATACAGCATTATATCAAATTATTGGAAAAAGCCAAATTTTCGCTATCATTTAAACTAAAGTATGAACTGTATAAGGCATATATTCGATTAGAGATATTAGATCTATTGTACATACATGGCGTGTTTTAGACACACACAATTATTTATCAATAAGTAATGAAAATAATTAAAGTTATTTTTTCCTTCTTTTTAAACCGCTGAAGAAAACAAAGGAAAAAGGTTTGTATAAAGTTTTACTTTTGCAATCACACGTCTGTACTCGTGAGATTAATGACACAGTTTTATTACATTTTAAGCATTTTGGGACGTCGTGAATATTCCCGATAGTCGAAATTAAAAATGTTTTAATTTTATTTAATTTTCAGGAAAAGATGTGTTTATATTCCAGAATATTTTTTGTCACCCATTTAAATAAAAATAATATTTACAAATACTTTTGCAATTAGATTACAATATCTTATTAACCCTGTATATTCATCATTGTCATTTGTAGGAGCGTTTCCTACGCGGTTGCGGGTCACCTCAGCTAGGTCAGGAAGACGTGCACGTAATATGTGGCTGTATAAAGGATTTCCTGCGCTCGTTACGTGAGCCTCTGGTGTCTAGTGCTCTATGGTCTGACTTCATGGCGGCCGCTAAATTGGCTGAGCCCGATGATGCTACCGCTGCAGTGGTACAGGCGGTCAGTCAGCTGCCGCAGCCTAACAGGGACACGTTGGCCTTCCTGGTGCTGCATTTACAGAAGTAAGTTTATCTTCTATTGTCTGGCACTCTTAATTTGACCACAATTGATGAGCGCGGTGATTTAAAAAAAATAATCATCTGGTGTTATTGTTAGTATTATTTATTACATATTTTTTGGAACCTTATTTGATTTGTGAATTAAAATAATTTGATTGTCTAAATTCTTATATAGTTCTTTAACATGAGTAAGTTTTTTAATCCGTCTACTTAAACTTATTTAGAGAGGGTATGCATAACGCATTTCTCAACGTCAAAAAAAGGGGTGCGACCGATTAGCCATAGGATACGACAGCTTACCGATTATTATGACGATATTTCGTTTCATTTTTGCTACTTTGACATGTCTTTTGGTGGGGAAAGAGATAAATTATTTAGTTGAAAACATTGCTGTCAGATTCATATTCATCATTTGTTCTTTGTGTGGTCAATAAATGTATTTTCTTTTTCTTTCTTTCTTTGTTATGAAAATACATGTCACATTAGTAAAATTAAATGAAATAGTGTTTATAACATCGCTAATATATCGTATCCTATGGCTGCAGTTATTGCTAGAGAAGTTAGGCGGTCGATGTGCAGATCGGACAACTTTCCAAAAAGTATTTTAAATCGTTTAAGATGTTAAATATATACAAACCTTTTTATATACCCAAAACTATGTTTAAATTTTAATTTTCTGATACTAGTTTTTTAGTACTTAATTAAATATTGATTCAGGGTAGCCGAGAGTACCGAATGCGAGATGGGTATTGAGAATCTAGCGAAGATATTCGGGCCCACCATCGTCGGCTACGGGTTGATGACTCAAGCTGCAGAAATGTACACAGCCACTGCGCAGATGTTTAACGTAAGTATTTATATGCAACTTGTTTAGCTCATTGATGTATGGTTGAGAAAAAACAGATAAAAAAGGTTAAGCCGTTGGTCCCGGCTGCATTTACAGGACGTTAATACCGTCCAATCCGCATTGGGCCAGCGTGGATCCTCCCTAACCATCCATAAGAAAGGCTTGAGCCCCTGCAATGGGAACGTAAAAGGGCTGGTGATGTTGAATATCAAAAACAAAAAGTTTGCATACTGAAACTTACGACAAAATAAACGTCATGGTCCGGGCCCACTTGGGACGTATTTTAAGATACCAGGCGCGGGCCAAGAGAGGGGGTAGAACGGGGGGTTTTGCACGGTAGGCCCACTGCAGTGGACCGCCGTCCCTTGCAGTGGTTCCCGGGTTCAGTCGGCCTTTCGCCCAGTAGGCCAATTCTGCTAACGTTTACGTAATAATAGGATGTCAACTACACGCATTTTTCCCTTGTACTATCTACCTCAATTCCAATATTATTATATTTTTGACTCAATCGATGTGTGAGGAAGACATTGAACTAATAACATTGAACTTTATATAGATAGTACAATGATAAAATGCAACTCGTTGAGATTCTATCGAGATGCGATTATTACGTAAACATTAGCAGAATTGGCCTGCTACGTCAACGCCATGTTAAGGTCAGTTCCCGTCGGTATATAAAAGGGGACAAAATAAACGTTGGTACGGCTCATAGTAACGTAGCCATGTGTGTGGGCAGGTGATGCAGGTGCTGCTGCGGCTGCCGGGCGAGTACTGGGCGCAGTGGGCGTGCCCCGCGGACGCCACGCCCGACACGCCCGTACACGCCCACGGGCATAAGCCCAGGGGATTCTTCTTCTCGCCCATTGATACCGGGTCAGTACTAACGCACGATAATAATAATAATTTAGCAACCACACAATGTACAAATAACACAATGAATGAATGAATAAAGACACACCGTGGTTTAAAAAAGATCTTTCATGGACACCAGATGAGAACACACTAATGTGTACCATACATAAATATCTATATTATATACTATCTGTTAATAATAATAATTCACTTATTGAGAAACCACACAATGTACAAATAACAAAATGTATTAATTTATTTAATCTTAATTGCCTAGTGAATCAGACAAATGGCGGACTTAATGCCAAAGAGGCAAATGAATAAATAAAGACACACCGTGACCCTAATAAGGTATACATTCAGCATAGTGCCGAGATGTCGTTAAGATACCTCGATGCTGATCTTCCATGGACACCAGATCAGAACACACTACTATGCACCGTACATAAACATCTATATTATATACGCTACCTCAACATTTAAATATATACATGAATAAGTATTATATAAACCATGCATAACAGACAATATGATAGAAAATACAATTTAAATTATAAAATTTTATATAAATTATACAACACAACACTTAAACAACGATACGCACTATCCATACCAATACTAGTCAGTGGTTCCGCCTAACTGTCAATGAATGAAGTTTTGTTATTATACACGTCATACCTGTACATAATTGCGTTTTAAATAGGCGTAAATTTTATTCTTTGATACAACCACAAAGGGCGTGAGGAAATCAAAACAGTTATATCCTTATTAGAATAATAAAACCGTATTATAAAACGAGATAAACATACTTACTTGGCTTTGCGTGTCAACTACAATCTACCCTAGTCGTAGTACACGATACACGAAAAAAAAATAGAGTAAGCACAGTACTGACGCATGAAATTATATCTTTTTTGCTTTTCTCATTGTCAATATGTAATTTTGCATGGTTTAAACGTACAGAAAGGAATTTTTTCTACAACTATTCACAGAAAATTACGAGTGAAAATGACATTAGCCACAAAGCTCGCTGAAATGTGACTAAAGTTAAACTCAGGCAATCTCATTGATTTCTTGCTGTCAATGTTGACGCAGATACCCATTATAATACATAATTTACAGAATTAGGATTTATCGTCACAATAAGATTTATATTATTTGTTTTATAATACCTGAACGAATCAAACGCATCGCCGGTCAACTTAGCGATAATTTTAAACAAATCATAGACAACATTACGTGTATTGTCAGCTTACTTTTTTCTCAAGTAATTATATATAGAGTTATTTATTTATTTATACAGGAACAAACAGTTGTATAAACGGCGACCGGTTTATTTGTTTTGTTTGTTTATTTGTTGAAAGACTTTTAGCTAAAAAATGAATAATAGTAAAGCTTATATAATAAGAAAAAGCCACAAAGGTCTCCACAGTTAGTAACACAGTACAGTTATGACTGGTTTTACACGTAATTAAGTAGATAAAATCTACTCACTACCTATCAACTCAATCAAGTGTAAACCAGCCATTAGTAAATGTAGGTAATACACTGTACACTGGTGATCATATTCACACTAGCATCCGCAGCTATAACAATTTATAACCTAAATCAGTAGGTCTTAACACATTAATAGTATTCACAAGTGTGAAAATACAAAAAGAATGAAATAGTATCGACATTTACATATATAATATAGACATACAATATCATAACTAAATTAGTTTCAATTTTATTTAAGCTGATATTCCACTGAGACTAAAGAGCATAAAAAATCTGTTATCTAAGTATACTAAGTAGGTAAACAACACATAGTATATAATTGTTTTTTTTTTTCAGAATTACAAGAAAGAAGAGAAACTATTTCCAGTGACATTAAGTAAGTCTTACATTTATAAGTTTATTTTTATTTTGTAAAGTTCAAGTTGAACCTTTAAGTTGAAAATTTTCTTATGTAACCTAATTCATAAGTAGGATGTAATATATATATTAATATATAGCTTAATAAAACTGTGTGGAGAATAGTTTAGTGTTTTGTTACCAAATTAAAAATGAAAAGTAAGTTGTATAACGTAGAATGATCTTTGTTGTAATAAAAAAAAAGTTAATTTTGATTGTTTTGACCTTACTTCTTTGTTAATCTTATTAAACAAATATTATTTATAGACATCAAATAAAGTTTGGTGTCATAAAATACAATAAAAGTCATTGTATTGTGAAAACAAAATACAAAATATTAAAAAAAAATCATTAATAATGAATTTCTGTATAAATTTTTTTTGTTATACATAAATATATAAAAAGTAATTTGTTAAATACTTACCGTATTCAACAAAAATGTTATTAAAAGAAAAATGTGTTTGCAAATCAGTGTTATCGTTACATTTCGCATACAAAGACTAAAGCATTAAATCAGTTCTAATCCCGGCAGTACCATGCTGGAAAAGAAAAATTTTCCTCTCAAAAAAAAAATAAATTTAAAAAAAAATTATGTTCTTTAATGTCAACAACGATAACAGTAATATTATGTAGTAAATAAACTTGAGATATGTCGTAAAAATTGCAAAGTTTTCACGGAAACCTTTATTCTTTTTTGAAGCCGATATAGGAAGGTTAAAAAATACATTTTATTTAATTGCGTTTTTGTGTCACAAAAAACATTATGATATTGACACGTTTGAAAGGATATTTTTTTATGTCATCAGTAACTTTGTTTTATATAGTCTACAGTGCGCTAGGTTATACAAAAATGTAAAAATTCTCAAATCAATTTAAAACCTTAATATGTTGGAAGTTAAATTCATAATTGTCTATGGGAATTTTACATTTTGTTGATTATCTGAATTTAAACTGGCACTGTCCTTTATTGTATATAAATTTAGTTAAAAGGATTGTACTTAATTTGTAATTACTAACATAGACAATATCATTACTCTAACTTAGGGGTCGACAACCTTAAAACACGGAATAACTAAAAAGTTACAATTTAAAAAATAAAAACTCAACTTTAAGGAGCCACAAAAAAATTTCGTTTCATTATTATTCAATTTGAGACTAAGTAAAATAAAAATGTACTTTAAATATCCATAGAACTCGATCATGGATCGACTACGCGGTTTAAAGGGTTTCAACAGTAAAATATGAGTTGTTGTAAGTGGAATTTGAGAGCAGCTACATTACATTAAAAACACCACAGGTTGTCGATCCCTGTCCTAGTTTATATTTTGTTTATGCGGTACTTACCTAAATGTAACATTTTAATAAAAAAAAACACAATAAGTACTATAGGTTAAGACTTTCTTACGCAACCATAACTAAATATTTTTTTGTCTACCTAAACAATAGATTGATTGCCCATATTATACCGAATTTAAAGCAAATCATGGTTTAATTTTACTTGAATGTCGGTCCCAGCGCTGCGGTTATATTCTTTTATGAATAAAAATTACCAAATTCATATAATTAGCCTACTTTCTGTTTTCAAACTGTTTGCTCTAAATTAAAAATGTTGTTCCGACACTTTGACCACTTTTCAACCATAGACAAATATTATTAATACATACTTATATAAAGCAAACACTAAATACATTATAAACATTGCGTTTTGAACTTAACATATCAAGAAAGATTATGTATTTGTTTAATTGATCATTATCGTAATTTTATTTAAAAAGAAAAGTCAATCGTCAAATTAAAACATTGGTGCCAACTGTTGAGAGTCAAATGAAACTATGATGCTCCTCTTTTCATACCGGCACGTATAAGGTCTGTATAATTTCGCCCTCTTAAGTAGTATTCACTTGATACATCAGCGGTTTCTGAGGGCTCATTTTATTAGTTGGTCATTTTTTTATTTTATTCGATTCAGAGAGTCTATATCGATAGTAGTCTATATGAAAAATTAGTAATTTCTCATACCGCCATTAAAATTGACATTAGTTTAAAGCGAAATTACAAATTTGAAATTTATTAGAGTTTAAAGACATCTTTAATGGACGTTTGTGCAACTAGGCAACAGTATAGTATAGAAACGCTGTACTCGTGTTTGTACTAATATTTTTATGTTTGCATTCCTTATTATTTATATCCATCGCCGATAGTAATTTTAAATTTAATTAGTGGGCAATCAGTCGCATACCAGTGAAATTTATTTCGTATGTTTAAGTGTTAGATAATGTTCCGTTCTTGTGACGTCACACCACCGCCTTTTGTAATTAAACTTATTTAAAGTTATTACAAAACCGCTTGCATTATTTTAGGTTTGTATATAAAATTTATTCAATATGAATCGCCAGCAAAAACTGCAATATCTAAATAAATACAAAATATTTGATAAAGAGACCCATCCGTAGCAGTAAAATAAAGCCACTTTAACAAAGGCTTGTGGTCACAATACATATAAGGAACAGTAACTCGACTCCATATAAACGGTCGAATCGGTGCACGTACACATTCAAACATCGTTTACGCGGCCGCCAAGCATTCTCTGAACGACATAACATCGCAATCATACCTCCCATTCATTTGCCTCCGACTACCACCACCACCAGCCCTTTTGCGTCCCCACTGCAGGGGCTCAGGCCTTCCTTATGGATGGTTAAAGAGGATGGGCCATGACCCTCCACGCTGGCCCAATGCGGATTGGAGGGTATTAACGACTGCAAATGCAGCCGGGACCAACGGCTTAACGTGCCTTCCGAAGCACGGAGTAGCTCGAGATAATAATTTTTTGGTCACCCATCCCGTGACCGACCCTTGCGAAAGTCGCTGAACGACTACGATCGCGGGCCGCGGCGCTTATCCACTACGCCACCGAGCTACTCAATCCCGACTATTTCATTAAATTTAATAACAAAATATTTTATTCTTAATCCTAGAATTAATAATAATAATCGTGTCCTTAAATTAAGTAATAATTCTACTTTTCGTAAGTACCAACCCTAGCGCTCTGTTCCGCTGTAGGTACAAATTTCAAGAAAACGCCTGAGTTGTGATACTGTATGATTTATATATTGTGGCCGTGTCATCGGACAAGTTGCCTTATTGGCTTATGATGTTTGCTGTTACAAAAATATTTTAGTATATACAGCATTAGATTTAGGATTTGTTCTTTTCCGGCGTTTCATATTGTTCTGTACATATACAGGGTTATATATGAAATACCAACAACCTGACAGCACTAGACTCATGACTCTAGCTAATATCATAAATTACACTTGTTCAATGTCTTGTGTTAGTTGCATTTGCTGTTGCTTCCGCACAAAAATATTTTTTATCGCACGGATCTTAGTTACTCTACGCGCATTACAAATATTACGTCACCGCGCGATTGTAACGTCGTCCTATCGTGAATAGAATGTAGACCTATTAACTTAAAAACTATTTTTGCTCAAAGATATTCAATCTATTTATTAAGTCAGGATTAGAAACTGATATTTTAAAGAAATAGAAATAATGACTAATGAAATAATTTCTTCTCAATTCATATATGAGAGTTTAATATACGTTCGTAAAAATATAAAATTGATTTCTATAAAAAATAAGCTAATGTAGCATATCACTTGACTTTGAGAATAATAATTCATTGAGCTTCTACAATAAGGCCCTAAGTAATATATAACAAGAAAATTTTAATTTACTATAAAAATACTGCTTAACAAGGCTTAAATAATATATCATTATTTCAAAATTAATGTGCTATTTATTATATTAGCTTTAAAACCTACTTGGTTATTATATTTGATCAATTTCGTATTTACAATGCTATGCTGAAAAATATTCTTAATGAAAAATGTTTAAAAAATCTACTTGGTCCCTGGCACCCTGAGAAAGGACTAGGGACCAATTCTTTAAGCATTTTTCATAATGAATACCTGCTTGGTTTTCAATGTGAACATCTTGATGATGTGTGGCAGTCATATATTTAAAATTTATATTTTAAACAGAGTAACATGTGTCTTGATATCTTCCCAAATTGTAACCACTATGCTTTGATTATATACTTGCAAAGTCACCATGTAACTCTGCTAATAAATAACAAATAAGTAGTTATGGCATTGTGAGGTCCTAGTTTTTGATTCTTCGATTTCAGTATTGTCATGGAAAGTGACCTCATAATTTAATAAAGTCATTTGCCGATGATGGTATAAATGGCATTCTTAAATAGTTATTCTTATCCGAAAAGACATTGTGAACGAACGGTAGAAGGAAGGGAACGAAAAAGACAATTTTAACTTTGACGTGTTGTTATTGTTAGATAATGTAAGCTGGAAAGTTGCTGGTGTTTTACTAATAACCCTGTATAGGTCAAATGTAATTATATTTTTTTTTATGTTCGCCCGTTTTTCACTTATCCTAGTAATATTTGAATTGTACACTTTTTGTACTCACTTTAACCCTTTGACATCTATAGGAAAATATACATCTCTACTAAACAATTAAGACTATGATTTAAGATATTTTTTGGTTATGTTTTCTAGGGACGCGTTTTTTCCTTAAGTTATAAATTAGAACTCCGAGTTTTCATTCTTTATGATTGTTTGATGACATAGAGTAATTTTGGTCTTTTTATTATAAAAAACCAACCAATTAGAACATGTTTTTAATTATTATTTGGTTAGTGAAAAAAAACCATTCATTAGTCCATTCGTTCATTGACAGTCTTAACTAATGAAACGGTCAGGTTCCACTTTATAATTATCTATTATTTTATGTGTGTAATTAATTAATATTTTTTTGTATTATCTAACAAAATATTTTTGTATTGCCTAACCATTGATGTATGTAGGTACAGTAGACAGCACAACAGTTCACTACAAAAGGCCATCATACCTATCGACAATAATACTCGTATTAAGACTTGTAGACCGCCACAGATATACTACGTACAACTTTCGTACGTACAAATTATAACTTTAATGGATAAGCACACACCCAGTACGTGATGATTTTACTACGCGACTTTTAACGTGTTAAATCTTAAATTGTTGATTATAAAATATCTTTTTGTAGTAAGCTGATGTACTGCTACTATAATAGAGGAAACTATAAAAGGAAATAGGGATTTGTTTTGTTTGGTCTATAGAATGCTAAGTTTCTTTTTTTTGTATTTATTAAACTATCTCAGATAGAGCTAGGGCTTTAATGGTTTACATTTTCAGTTTGGTCGATTGGGTGTCGCTCATTTATTACGTAACACGATTTTGTAAGTTTTTTAAGATCCTATGTAAGAAAAATAAGAATCGAGTGATTCAATAACTGCGTAAAAATCTAAAGGAAAACGAAGATGTTTTCTATAAATTTTTCCTTTAGATTCTTAATAATCTTAACGTAGTTTTGATGATCATTAATAAATATTAATACTTTATTGTTGGAAAAAAAATATAACGATTTCTTTTCGACGTCGTCTTCAATAACTTGTTTTTAAACTTACTCTGAGTGCAAAGGATACAAAAACACGAAATCGATTGTCACCCCCGTGACATCACCGTACGTAAAAAATAATTGGCGCCTTATAAACATTATATTTATTGTAAATAGTATGTAAAGGTTTTGGATTGCAGATATAGATAGTCTGGTAATTTTTTTTTAATATCGATTTGTCGCAGTATATTGTAAGAGAGAAGTTTCCTAAACTGTTTGTCTGAGAATAAATTTTAGTTTACGTTAAATTTATCATAAACCATAATTGCTTTTCGTCTTCTAAGTATATTTTAGTGCCTATATAGCTGTAAGATGAGATTGCGTACGGAGCTGCATAATATTGTGCATACAAATTGTGGTATAAAGGATATATTTGACATTTTATTTAATAACTTGAAAGTAGGAAGGAAAAGGTGAATCTCTCTCTAACATTAGATTTAACTATTAATATAAGTATTTAGTTGTTAATATTGTGGATTTATATTGCATCACACACCTAGTCACAGACTAGTTTACATTTAAACAGCGAAGCATCTACCTATTTGTATATGTATCTTTTATGTTAATTAACTGACTTTTGTAAAAACTTAATAAAATCATGTGTATCTTTAATAGTTTTTTTTTTGAACGAAAAGTTCTTTTGGTTCCGTATGTAAATGTTCAAAAACGGAACCCATATAGATTGGTCCTGGATAACTGTCCGCCCGTATGTCATAGCTTTATTAAGAGACTATAGATGACAAAACTTATTAGGTGGATTTATTCTGTGAAAGCTTTACGCTTTTTCTACAAAAACTAAATAAAATAGAGTGACCTATGTATGGAGATACATAGAACTGAAACAAAAAAATCGGAGTGTTTATATATAGTTCCTTTAAACATTTTTTCTCAAAGTCAACTGGTAAAAAAGATAGACAACCGTTTAAATCGGGAAACATATAAATCGTTCTAGAATAGGGTAAAAAAAAGGATAGAATAGAAGAATTCTTTATTGTACAAAAACACCAATAATAGGTAACAATAACATAGAACAAATAGTACAATCGGCGGCCTTATCTTTAAGAAGCAATTTCTTCTAGGCAACCGTTAACCGTTTGGAAAATTTTAATTTAAATCTAAATTAGGTAGTCAATGGTGTCTTAAATGTACATGATATAAACATACATACATAACTATAAAATATATATAGGTATGTAATGTAAAAGTTCATAATGACAGAAAATATTAGATACGTATTTTGTTTTGCTTCGATTTAACAAGAAATAGATATTAGGCATTAAAGTTGAGTGGAGGCTTGTTACGTAACGTGTGACGTCATGCGACATATCAACTCAATGTACCTATAGCCGTAATTATGATTATACAAAAAAAAATGAAAAATAATGTGTGTAAAAAACTATTCTTCAATAAACTACCTGATGGACAAACATACAAAAATTAGTCATTTTAGCTGATGGACAAAAATGAAAATGATTAGTAACACTTCAGGAATTGAAATGAAACAAAATAAGAACTTATTTGTCTTTTACATTTAATTAATTAAATAAATAACATATAAAAATTATTCACAAAATCAAGATAATTTATTTCAGTACATATGTTAATCTACATATTAAAAGCTTTAAAAACAATATACCCATTATGTTAATAAATGGTCCAGTTTTGTTACGCAACGATTCTACAAAAATATCTATTGGTCATTCGAGCAGGATTCACATAACACACATAAGTATATTGATTTTATAATGCGTACATTTTGTTTCGAAATTGTTTTATATAAATCGATAAAATAATAATTATAACCAACTGCAAATATTTATATCTAATTTTATAATATATATTTGATCAAGTTTTTCAGACAATTTTTTCCTGTCTTATTGAGCAAGGAAGCTAATGAACTTACTAACACTTGTTCGTATGTACACATGTCGCAGCTAATTGGTTTAAACAGACATGGAATCGGACGGCTAACCCTAATGACGCCATACAATAGGGATGATGACTGGGTAAAAAAAATGCAATTCTATTTAGTTCGTCAGTCAGATAATAGAAAAATATTAGATACGTATTTTTTTTACTTCAATTTAACAATAAATAATATAGATAACAGGCATTAAAGTTGAGGAGTGAGGGCTCGCTACGTCACAGTTGAGTAGAAAACGTACTCTAACGTGACGTCATGCGAAATTTCAACTCAATGTAACGCCGTCATTTTATGATTATGAAAAAAATAAAAAAATACGTGTTTAATATTTTTTAACACTCTACCTGACGGACAAACAAACAAAAATTAGTCATCATCCCTATTGCATAGTTTTCTAGTTAAATTAATATGATATTTAAAAGTAAAGTTGATTAAAATATCAATAAAACTTCGATGAAATACTGCACAGTCGTAAAATTAAATTAATTAATTACAAGTAAAAAAATTAAACAGGTAATTCAATTATAATATTTTTTTTAGTTATTATAAATAACTATCTGTTGCACAAACGCCAATTAAAATTGTCATTAGTTTAAAGCGACATTTTTCATATAAATAGTAAATTCATTAAAGCTTAAAGGCGTAATTAAACTTTAATGGACATTTGTACAACTGACCGTATGTCTCGTGTCGTGATCTGTAATAGCCAGTTGACTGGACTCTGTATAACCGTAATGTATATTTGTTTTTGACTTTTCATCTGGGTCGTAGTTAAGCAGTGCTAATGAACGGCGTCATTCAATTAAAGCTATTTCGAAAAGCTTAACCAAAAAACCTTAACAAAAAAATTAACCAAAATGTTTGATTTCGTTATTAATAATATAAATAATAATAAACATTTAATTTTAAAATAATATCAGCATATTTATTGATAAAAACAATACAATGACTTCATAGTGTCTCGTAGTGGACACGATTGAGTCTCAAATGAAACCCAAAACGGTGTTTTTTAACCATATTTTATGGATTCAAAATATATCGCAGAGCTACGTATTACTTAGTACAGTTGTAAATGTTAAGTGAAGTTTTAAAAAATATTAATTTTGCGGTTGTCCATCATGTGATAAAGTAATAGTAATATATGAAGGTACAATTGCCGTTAAAATTCTTATAGGCGTTTGTCCAGCGTTAACACATACATAGATATTATCTCGAATCAAGGCTAGAGAGTTAGGCGGTTGCTCTGCTGGTCTAGATTATATATTTACATCGCCGTTGTCGCCTTCTTATACGGATTTAGATTTGTGCTCACAAATTCCTAAGAAGTTTTCATTATCAGATTAATCTTCGTCTTCTATGTCCTCGTCGAGATCTTCTATTTCATTGGGCCTCAAAAATCGACTCTTCTGGGACAAAATGAAAATAGAAATAACATAATTGAAGATTATGAAGTTGGTACAATTTTTTTTTTCACGTTATGAGGCTTTTGTTTTTTTTTTAATTCATTAAGGGCTGGTCGTAAGATGGGTGACTAACAATTTAAAATCGCGGGCGTCGCCGTCAGTCCCTGTGCTTAGGAAGGAGGAAGGTATGTTAAGCCATTGGTTCCGCTCGGTTTCAGTCGTCAATACCTCTCAATCCATATTAAGCACGCATGATGGTTTTGGCCCGTTCTCTTTATTCAATTGGATCCCATCTGTATGGAAGACCTGTGCCCCAGCTGTGGCGACCTTAATGGGTTGGTGAAGTTGGTTTGTTTAGTGATACTTATTATGGCGCCTACTGTACAAAAGGGCTGAAGATTTGGTAAAAAAAAAGACAGAAATTCTATTTAGTCCCTCAGTCAGATAATAGAAAATATTTAATACGTCCAATTTTTTCCATCAAGAAATAGATTTGATAACTGCCCTGCGATTCTGTATAAATCCAAACCTGAATTCACTTCAAAAAGCGTCATCCGCTCAGTCTTGACTGCAACACATGTGTGAATACGAATTCGGGTTCGGATTTTCGGAAAGAATCGCCTTGCAGGCATTAAAGTTGAGGAGTTCGTGGTGGAGGAGGGGGTACGTCATAATTTTGTAGAAAATGTACAAAAGCGTGACGTCATGTGACATTTTAACTCAAATGTATCGCCGGCCGTAATATAAAGATTAAGAAAAAAAAAACAATGCGTGTTTAATAGTTTTAACAATCTACCTGACGGACAAACAACAAAAATTATAAGTTGCCGTAGTGTGTTGTAAAATGAATTGTAAATATAAATAAATAATGACAATAATGACTAGGCACGTCAGGCTATACAAAACTGTCAAACTTCCTTACTCGATTTTAAACCTTAATATATGGAAGGTAGAGATCAAAATCCATTGCAGAAGTGTGACATATTGTGGTAACCTGACATGCAGCAGTATTAAATAGCTAACAACAAATAATTACCATAATTATAATCATACTAGATGACTTTAAATATTTCTTACTTCATCATCATCATCAGCCCTTTTACGTCCCCACTGCAGGGGCTCAGGCCTTCCTTATGGATGGTTAAAGAGGATGGGCCATGACCTTCCACGCTGGCCCACTGCGGATTGGAGGGTATTAACGACTGCAAATGCAACCGGGACCAACGGCTTAACGTGCCTTCCTAAGCACGGAGTAGCTCGAGATAATAATTTTTTGATCACCCATCCCGTGACCGACCCTTGCGAAAGTTGCTTAACGACAAAGATCGCGGGCCGCGGCGCTTATCCGCTACGCCACTGAGCTACTCTTACTTACCACTGAGCTATTTCTTACTTGATAGCTAAATATTTCTAACTTAAAAGCTGTAATAATTCACAATCTTTCACTCTTGGAAGGCAAATGGTTTAGAGATATTCACAATACCAACAACAGACACATTTAAACTGGCAACTTATATAAATATGAATGTCGGAAACGGTTTTTTATGTTTTTAGCGGGTTTCGGGAGCAATAAATCGATTTAGCTAGGTTTATTTTAATAAAAAAATTGCTAGTCGGACTCGCGTACGAAGGGTTCCTTCGCTTTCGCTTACGAAGGAATACCGGCAACGAGCAGAAAAATCACGTTCTTTATATGGGACCCCCTTAAATATTTGTTTTTAAAGAAAAAATATTTTAAGAAAGCACCTCACTATATGACAACTCGAACAAAAGTTGATTTTTGCAGGAAACGAATGGACCAAAGATAGTCACTTCCGTTCCTTTTAACTTACATATTGAAAAACTGAAATTTACAAGATGCGAAACTTAGATCGAAAAATTACAAATAGAATATGAGTTGTTTATTGAGTTTTGAAAATTAATTTACTTTTATATATGAAAAAAACCGAAAGGGTTGTCATGGAGAAATCAAGAAAGTACCGTAGCGACATCTAGTTTGATTTCGGGAACTAATGTTTTTTTTAGATACTTCCTCATTGAATTTGTTGTTGAAGCGGCAACAGAAATGTATCATCTGTGAAAATTTCAATTGTCCAACTTTCACGGTTTATGGGATACAGCCTGGTGACTGTCTGTCACAAAACCGAAACCGAAGTCTTAGTACATACCCGTTTTACCCATTAGGAACGGAACCGTAAAAAATACCTAGCCATGTTCGATCATCCAGGTAATATCTAACAAGCTTACCTCAAGTTCGTTCGTCTTCAGTATATTGGGAGTATCGCCGTCACCGAACTTGATCCCGTACGGGCGCAGATGATATATTAGATAATCTAAAACGTACATGAGTTTCGGAGCTACGTAGTGAAATGAAATAGCGTAATCCGAACAGCAGTCTATTCCCTGAACAACAAACGAGCAAAGTTAATGTCAGTAAGGATGAGACCATTAATTAAATTTCGAGAATCCCGAGTCCTCCATAATCTCGATGTCGAGAACAGGCTTACCTCATTTTGGGGGTAGTAGATATATTGCCAATACCAGTCGCTTTTGTTCTTGCTTGGGAACAAGTGATCCTGCGTCATGAACGGAAAGAAGCGACCTCTATGAAGCGAGTCCCGTGAATCCATCGCTTTGACGCCGATATTGTCCAAGCAGATGCCTGTATTTAGTTTAATAATCAAAATTAAATACAAATTATAAAGAATAAAATTTATCCTACAAATTCTCTGGAAAATACTTCAAAGACATCAAAACGAACGATAGGACCTTGAGTTTTTGATATGAATCTAGAAATTCATAAATCCAAGAACTATACAGATTCTCGAAATAGTTTAAGTTTGTACCTAGCGAACACTGTTTATATGTTTAACTCTTGAAATATCAGAACACGTTACTTTACTCTTTGGCCCAATTGAGCTTATTCAGCCATCATCTTGCCACCATGTACTACACTTTCTTAGTATCATCTTAAAGATACTCTTTCTTATACGTTTTAAAACCTACCTAGGTAACATGTAAGAGCAAATGGAAGAAAAACGGAATGCAGTGACGTGAATAAATGTATGCCTCACCAAAAGGAATAAAAATAGTAAATAAGTACACCATAAATAGCATGCATTGATGTAAATGTACTTTCGATTGACACGATCAAAAATCCAATAACAGAAACCATTTTTTTGTTTCATTTTGATATTAGTGATGTTATTTTCTAAGAGTTATTAAAACTGATTCTGCCGTCCCGCGACTGGCTAGCCGCAACTAAATCTTCCTTCAGATATGCACCAACCCTAAAAGTGTAGTGTGGTGCCTTTACGCTCCATTTACAATCAGACAAGCTCATATATCATAAATTGTATACTGGCCTACCCATTAACAGAGAGAAAAGGAAAGAAGTACAGTGATACAAAAGAGAGAAAAGGAGAGAAAGAGGGAGTTTTACCAATTTCAGCATCTTCTTCTCCCTCGTCGCTCGCTTTACAGAGATGCGGTGAAGTGAGTCCTTTGTTCACGAACATATCCAAAGCAGACCGACTCAACACGTACCCAGCCCCACCGCTCATGTAACCCTTGCGTAGGATATTATAATAGAACATTTATTAGTCACGATAATAATCTTCTCTCATGGTTCATGGTACCAGGGATGAAGTGGATTTTAAAGCTTTTTTCTGAATAGCAACGAGGTAGTATAGCAAACCGTCATTTTAGGGTCCGATCACATACAGTTTTCATAGTACTGTAACGGTGCGCCGTACGACCGTTTATTTCGTCCTAGGTTTCTGTATGCAAACTTTTTGTGTTTGATCTTCACCATCATTTATTTTTATTATTCACCTTTCTTAATTTGAAATTTTTAGTAATCCAATTATGCTCTTTATGACTGTCGGTTCGTAAAAAAATCATCTGGTGAGAACACGATAATTTAATCATATAAATCTAATAATAATAAAGTTATTACAATTTAAATATCGTATAGGTAGAACTTAGTACATATTTTCGTGAAATATCTACTAAGTTCTACCTATTTCGGACAACCCAGAAACGGGTATTTCTTATTACCCTAGTAAGTCAAATTTTCAAGCTTAGTCAGCCTTTTATTAAGTTGCATAAGCATCATACCCGTCACAGCACTATTTAAAAATAATTATTAAAAAAAATAAAAATATTTTTTATCTTGACTTTAAACTTCCTGATATGCAATAAGTAAAAAATAAGCTACGTTTTGATATAATATCGCATCACTAGACGCGTTAGTAAAGATTTAGATAAAAATTGGACATGTGTCTTATAAATTATAATAATATGGATGACGACTAATTTTTGTTTGTTTGTCCGTCTGGTAGAGTGTTAAAAATATTAAATACGTATTTTTTATTTTTTTCGTAATTATAAAATTACAGCGTTACATTGAATTGAAATTTCGCATGACGTCACATTAGGGTACGTTTTCTACTCAACTGTGACGTAGCGAGCCCCCACTCCTCAACTTTAATGCCTGTTATCTAAGCTATTTCTTGTTAATTTGAAGTAAAAAAATACGTATCTAATATTTTTCTATTATCTGACTGACGGACTAAATAGAATTACATTTTTTTTACCTAGTCATCATCCCTATTATTAGTGTTTATGATACTTAAGCTTTGTTGGACACATTTTTGCATTTAACGTGGGTTAGATGGTCAAATACAACACAGCTGTTTATTAGGGTTGACAGCATACAGTTTTACTTAAAAAAATTAAAGGCAAATTAAGGTCATATGATAATCCTATTCCAAACACCATATCTACCATATTCAGAATTATAAATTGCATATTTATACACACCTGATCAGTGAACGGTTTAAATCGGCAACCGAAGTATATACCATCTTCGGGATTGTAATTTGCCAGCATGTATCTGAGGTTCTCCACCACTACATATCTGTTAGAGAAAATTAAAATATATTTTATTAGAACAAAAGGTAAACCAAAAATTATGTGTACGGTAACAGCGGCGGTTGTGCGGTCAAATATCACTGTCAACTTGATTCCACTTGTTATATTGTGCCAAATAAAATGGATTTGATTTGATTTTGATTTGATTTGATTCCAAAACCTTATTGTTTTAAGAATAGGTCTAATGTATCAGTATGGTAACTAAACGTGCAGCCTTGTGCAAATTCATTATCAGTCTTTTTACACACCACTACAGGGGCGCAGACCTTCCCTATGGATGGTTAAGGCGGTTGAACCACGACCCTCTACGCTGGCCCAATGCGGATTGGAGGGTATTAACGACTGCAAATGCAGGCGGAATCAACGGCCTCACGTGCCTTTCGAAGCACGGCGTGACTCGAGATAATTATTATTTAGTCACCCATCCCGTGACCGACCTATGTGATAGTTGCTTAACAATAACGATCGCAAGCCGCGGCGCTTCTTTGACGAGTGAGGTCTACTCAAATGGGCAAATTAGTAGTAAGGTAATAAGTACTAGTTGTGGAGTGCAGAAATATGAATCTAATAATTTAATAGAATTTATTCACGTACACACGGCTACACGTCATATACCAAATTTCTGCACTGGATTTTGACCTCTGCCCTCAACAAATCAAAGTTTAAAATCGGGTGGAAAATTTGAAAGTTTTGTATAGTCTAACGTCAGGCAACACTGGTAAGAATAGCAAAGTTAAACTATAATAAACAATGAAATAAATGCCTGGCCACACAAGTAGCAACTAATGGGAGGAAGAAAGGACACCGTATTTTTTTTTATCTCTCTTGAAATCGAACTCACGTGTCATCGTCGGCCTTGAGGAACCAGTCGGCGTCTATCCTGTGATGGTCGTACACGTAACGGAACGCCTCCTTGGTCTTCCCCCATAAATACCCCCGGCCCTCGCGTACTGGCAATTTCACCGTCGGCAGTGCGGGATCTGATACAAAGGTAACAGGAACGAAAGAAAAGTAACGAATATCATAGCTTCAGACTTTATTTCATTAGGTAGTTCCTAGTCAATGGTGAAATGCATTATTTTACCTTAAGCGACTCCTAAATATTTAGGCGACAGCTTTGGGCGACTCCTTAGTTTAGTGAAAATGAGCATCAGACGATCCGGTGTTCATTGGTGATAGAACCTTCTAATAGGTGTTCCAATCATTACAAAGAATATATATTTGCCAGAGACTTCTCTTTTTGCCAAATTACCATAACGTTCGTAACATAATAGGGTATATGTGGGCAAACAGCTTAATGTAAGCCTGATACTAATATGCTGCCGCGCGCGTGTATTTCTACCCTATATAAATATAGAATTATAAAAACTATTGACATAGCATTATTCGTTTCCTACCTTCCTCAGAGCTCATAAACAATATCTTGTTGCATCTCTTTCCCCACGTCGCCTTCACGTGATCGGCCCTCATTCTGTGCTCATCCGGTTGAGTCATCACCCAGCAGAGCACCCTGACCTTCATAAATAATTCATCAGCGACCGTTCTATCCTCGCGCATGTGCACTGGCTCGTCGCTACTATGCCCTCTCACGTCTGAATTGATCATATTTCTTACAAGATATTTCGAAGACTCACTGAAATAAGATGCGAAGAACGTCAGGCTACTACAATATGTCGAATTTCCTCAATTGATTTTGAACCCTACCTATAATGCTATGAGGTTTAATAGCAAATGAAGAAATTTGACAGTTTTACTAACTGACGTTATACTGATTTAATGTAGATTCTATTCTATTCTATTCTTCTATAAATAAATGTCATTCAGAGCAGGAAACAGTAATCTTAGAAATCAGAATGATTCTTAATGAGAAATCTTAAAAAAATCCACTTGGTCGTTGGCACCCTGAAAGGAGATTCGAACCCATAACCTTTCGCGATTCGGGCTATGACCTTAACCAATGCGCTACCCAGGACCTAACAGGGCTGATGAATCTTTCAAGCAGGTGTTACTTTTTCGCTACTACAGAGCGTATTCTCATCAATGTTCGGGTGATCCACCCAAACAGACGTAAGAAATATTATGCTATCAGAATGATTGCTTAAAACGGGATTGCTACCATGTACCTGTTTTTATCGAGTTCCCGATCGTGGCGCTGTTGCAGGCGCCATAATTGTGGAGTCAATATGACAGGGATATACACGCAGCATGCGATCGCTAATGGCTAGTTTACACGTAATTGAGTACATTTTTAACTTAATCTTAAGTAATTATGTATGTGTAAACTCACGAATAAGTAGAGAGTCAAAATTTAGCTAACTACTTAAGAGTTTCATTATAATTCACTAATTAAGCTAATCTCTTTATATCAAATTGAATAACATAAAAAAAAAAGATCCTGCTTTGAAGAAGACAAATTTGAGGACAAGATTAGCGAAGGCCTGTAGTGTGTTAATAATGTGTACTAGAGTCTAAAATATGACTCCGTTAGTGTATAAATTCAACCATTTATTCCTAGTTACAGTACTGGTTATGTATATTACTAGCTTTCCGCCAGCGGCTTCGGCGGCGTGGTCTTGTATTATAAATAAAAACGTTCCTTTTGAATCTCCCTATTTATTAAAAAAAACCGCATCAAATCCGTTGCGTAGTATTAAAGATTTAAGCATACATAGGGACAGAGAAAGCTACTTTGTTTTATACTATGTAGTGATGTGCTTTACTAACCTGTTGGATGACACGGCGTCTTCTTGATATTCTGTCGACGTTATTATCATGTAAGCAAAACTGAGCCCTACCGACATAACAATCACCAGAGTTCCCACTAAATATTGACCCATCATCCGAACTTTAACATGTACAGGGGAATATCACAACAATTTATATATAGTAGATTTTTTTAACTCTAGTGTGTTCCCGCTACGCGTAAATAAAGTGTATTTCTTGTGTAACTATATCTAACTTTTAATTCCGCTTACTGAAAAATCATGTCATAACGTTATATATTTTATCATAAAAGCTCATTAAATAACGGTTAAGTTTTAACAGTATTTTTCAGACATTGCGGTTCTATTACGAAGTTCGTGTTCACTTGACTAAATACTAGACTTGACTAGAGCTAATCCGCGTCAACCATCATCTTAACTAGACATAAAATAGAAAACAAACATTATTTGTTTATTATAAACAAACTGAGGATTTTTTCGTTTGCATAATGAGCTCAGTTATAATCGTTGTTTACTCATATGATTTTTATTGAAAAGTCGTGTGTAGGGTTGCCACGCACCCTGAAAACATCTGGACACGTCCGGAATGAAAAAAAGAACAAACAGTATGTTTTTCAACAAAATGATATGGCTGAATTAAAGTCATAAATAATAATGATTATGAAATAAGAGTAAATTTTACTAATAGCTTATAAACATAGTTGGGTGCCAACCAATACTTTCGAAAATTAGGAAGCAGAGTCGGTAGCCCAGAACAATTCAGTGTAAAAATGGGATACAGTAATTTTCGCTTAAGTTTGATAAATAAAAAAGGTCGGTGCGATCGATTGCCCATTGCAAAATAGCATTCATTTGAAAATACACTATAACTTATTAGGACAGGACACTGCTTAAAAATCCGTGCAAGCTGCTTAAAGACACATCAAAAGAGGTAAAAACTATTCCGACGTCCATGGCACTAAATACCAGGAAAGTCCGGGGAAAAATAGACAGCTGGCAACTCTAATATATAGTATTATTATTATCCGTTTTACTGTAACTGCCTTGATATGAACTCATGATTGGTGAAAACGCAGCAATAATAATAATCGAAAATTCAAACTTACCTATAACTAAAAGGTTTAGGTAACAAATAATGGTATTTAAATAAAAATATAATTAAGTTAAGAAATCTTTATATTAATGTACCGTCTTCGGTACAACGTCTCCTTGGCCGTATACAATTCCGTACGGTCGTAGATGGTATATCAAATATTCCATGACGTACATCTCTTGTGGAGCCACATAGTGGAACGTGATGGCGAAGTCGGAACAGCAGTTCAAGCCCTGAGGATGGAACGAATGTTCCGTAAAGGGTTCGTCATCATCATGACCCTATTAATATCCCCACTGCTGGGACTCAGGCCTCGCTTATGGATGATATCGAATCTAATCGAATAGCGAGAAAGGGACATGGGTGGCAACTGCAAATGTAGCCGAGACCAATGCCTTAGCGTGCCTTATGAAGTAGTCGATATTATTTGCTTAAATTTCACAAGAAATGGCTACGTCACAAATATGTAGAATATCATGCGACATTTCAACCCAATCATCATCATCATCAGCCCTTTTACGTCCCCACTGTAGGGGCTCAGGCCTTCCTTTTGGATGGTTAAGGAGGATGGGCCATGACCCTCCACGCTGGCCCAATGCGGATTGGAGGGTATTAACGACTGCCGATGATGATAAATTTAAATATTAACTACCTATAATAGCACTACCTAAACAAAATGTAAAAATCTTACCTTATTAAATTTATAATAGGTATATTCCCAATACCAAAACTTGCGGTCAGCGGCAGGGAATATGTGGTGTTCAGGCACAAAAGGGAAGAAGCGACCGCGCTCCGAGTCATCTCTAGTGTCCATTGCTTTTACATTAAGGTTCTCAAGACATTCGCCTGAAAAATTAACCTAATTGTGGGTTTCCGATCCCGCAGTCTGTATTCAATCTCGGTATTTGTGGGATTAAGAACTTTCAGCGGGATCTCGGTATTTTCGGCATCCCAATTATATAATATAATATGACTGTTTCTGTTAAGAATAATAAAACAAAGAATTATTCAAGAAACATCACATTTAGATATTTAAGTTTCATTATTAGCATGAGATCAGTCAAAATAGACCGTTTATTTGTTACTGAAAACTAAAATATTTTTTTATTTAAAGAATAGAATCGAATTCAAACTTAAAAAAGTGAAAAATAATATTTATCTCAAAAGCGACTTATTCAAGAAAATGCTATTAAAAAGTCGGATGGAGGTTCTCTGTGGGTTATTAATTAAATGACAAGCGCCTGACTTCAACAGTATTTTCTAGAATAAGTCGCTTTTGAGATTTAATTAGTTTTATCCATCAGTGCAATGTCAGCCATTGCTATCATAAACAAAAACACTATTAGGGTTGGTGCACCACTATCGATAGATTCATCGCAGAATGTTAGAACTAACAAAATATATATATAACATTTTTTTATAAATAAATATTTACACATACATTGCTTAAATTTCAAGATCATATTATGGAGTTTTTAAGACAACGATGGTACCATAACACCCAAAACCAGGAATATGTAGGTAGAAAAGATCCGTTTTTTACATTGACCTGGCCGGTAATCGAATCCGGGACCACGGAGGTAGCGACCCCTTGATATTAAATATAAGCATTAACTTTTCAATCTACATACAGCCAGTTGCACAAACGTCCATTAAGGTTTAATGACGCCTTTAAGCTCTAATGAATGTCAAAATTGTATGGTTAATGTCACTTTAACCTAATGAGAACTTTAACGGACGTTTGTGCATCTGTTAGTTTTATTAATATAATTGATCAATCAATCTCAGCATTCTTAAACCCATAATTACAATAACTTTAGAAATAGAATTAATATAAATAACATCATTATACATGATGTTATTTATAATAATTCTATTTCAAATTAAATATCTATTCTTAAAGATTAAGAAATTTTTTGTATGGTCACACCCAGTTGATCAAAGAACCATTAAAATAGTCATTAGTAAAAGTAGGCATTAAACCTTTATGGACGTTTGTGCAACTGGGTGTTAGTCTGGCATTACTATTAATCTTATTATTATTTTATTTAACTAATCTTATGATTTATATTATTAACAAATAGTACCCATTTGCAAATCTTCAGCCCCTCCATCATCCGCTGAACATAGTTTTGGTGACGACAGACCAATCTGCGCAAACCTTGACAACGCTTCCTTACTTATTACGTAACCGGCACCGCCGCTCATAAAACCCTTTAATAATTAATGTCAATTAAAATAGAAAATATTTTATTACATTCGAACATTCATTTATTGCTTTCCGACTAAGAAATTCAGTTAGTGGATTATTTGGTGGATTATATACTAGTGTCGTACTTAGGGGTGTCGCGTTACATAAGAGCGCGAAGCTTAACAGTAAAGGTACTTAAGTAATTATCATTGTGAATTTATATTATTCTAATAACTGACCAAGCGAGTCGGATTCGCGGACGAAAGGTTCCGTACAGTTATATATTAAAAAAAACGCATGTATGTGATTAAATATTATTCTTATTGTTTTTTTCTTATTTGTTGTTATAACGGCAACAGACATACATACCTAAATCTTATCACAGTTGATAAGATACAGCCTGACGACAGACAAACAGACAAACGGACAGTGGATTCAAAACATAAACAGAGTAATACTTTGGTAAATAAAACACACTAACCTGCTTTAAAAATTTCTTGAAACGGCAACCAAAGTACAATGGGTCCAACGGATTATAACCTGCCAGCATGTACCTGAGATTTTCTACAATAACATATCTGAAATTTTATTCACGCTTTAAATAACGAAATTGCATTAGGCAAGAAGAAGTTATTATCACCGAAATTATTTTATAAAGAAACTTTCCGCCAGTGGCTTTGCCCGCGTGGTCTTGTATTATACATAAAAACCTTCTTTTTGAATCACCCTATCTATGAAAAAATCCGCATCAAAATCCATTGCGTAGTTTTAAAGATTTAAGCATACATAGGGATATAGGGATAGAGAAAGCTACTTTGTTTTATACTATGTAGTGACTACCAGGGTTGGGCAGTATTTAAATTACTTGTAATTGAAATATGTAATTAAAATACAAATACGTATTTGGTATTTCTATTTCAATTACTTCCTTAAAATGTAATTTGTATTTCAAATACCTGACGCAGAGGTATTTTGTAATTAGTATTTCAAATACTTGAGGCTTCAAAATACATTTAATCTTCATTAAGCGATCGTGAGTGTAAGGCGCGAGAGTGTAATGATTGTAATGCGGATATTACAGTTGGCAACACTGCACCTGTCCGCTATGACAGATGACTTGTCAGTGTCAAAGTCAAAGTATAGTCCAAAGATTACAATATTATACTGGGTATAGTCAAGTCCTAACGTATCGTAACTTGTTCGTAACGGAATAAATAAAGCTTCGTTTTATGTTCTGTGTAGAATACTAAATAAAATATTAAAGTTTTTCGCGATGAATGATCAAAATCCCTCTCCACTATGCCGGATAACGGTGGCGATGGAGTGAACCAAATTAATTCTGAGATATACCCGCTGATTTTGACAACAGATGACAGGCAAAGAATTCAAAATCTTGCCATTCATGCCTTAAAGACAAGATACAAAAATCATGAAATAATGCCTGGAAGCAGCAGGAGTAGCACCACGAGTAAAGAAGATGATGATTTTATTGTTTTGGCAGCAGAGACAGTGATCAACCACAGACATCTAAAATGGAGTTGGTCACCTTCCTTAATGATAATAGCAAAGAGCTTCAATTCTTAAGCGATATCCAAATATAAAAAATGAATTTATACAATTCAACACAAGTTTGTGCTTATCGGGAATTGTAGAAAGATTATTATCCTTAGCCGGTTTTATTCACTCTCCAGCAAGAGGATGTTCGTCGGACAAATCATTCAAAAATCTAGTTTTTATGAAAGGGAACTCTGGTTTTGAAAATTCCTAAAAGAATAAGAAAAAATTCGACACCCTTTCACATATACACCAGCAGGATCTGCGACCGATGTATGTGAAAGGGTGTCAAAGCTTTTCTAATACTTTTAGGAATTTTCAAATACTAAACATAGCATTATGAATGCATAAAAAAAAACATAACTCGTTCGCAATTTCTTATTATGTATTTTGTAATTTGTATTTCAATTAAAAATAGCTTAAATACAGTATTTTGTATTTTATATTTCAAATACCTCACTTAAATATATTTAGTATTTCGTATTTTAATTACTTGCAATAAAGTATTTTGTAATTTATATTTCAATTAAAGCAAATCATGTATTTTGCCCAGCCCTGGTGACTACCAAAATAAATGTTGCCAGATGGGAACAAGGCAAGATATCCAGTTTGGATAGTGATTTTTATCAAATTCATTAATATTGTAAATAATTTTAGTGAACTTTATAATGTGGATTCTAGTGAAAATCTTGCAATTTAATAATGTTATAATTTATAGTTTACAATATTATTATAAAGAGGAAAGATTTGATTGTTTCTTATTGTAATAATTAATGTAATACAAAGTGACTTGATATTATAATGAAATTACTTTTTAATTTTATTTCGACATATCGTATGGAATAAAACGGAGAAAAAAGCAGCCCTTGCTGAGTTTCAGGCCGTTCTTATCAGTACAATGTATCCCGCCGTAGATTTGCGAATCGATAGTATAGCTCTCGACATCCACAAGTGTTTGTAACAGTCAAGACTGTATAAATAATATTGAATTTGAATTTGTTTGCTTGCATTGAATACTGTAACGATTTTAAAAAAAATCACATACGGGAAGCTAGGCACATCATACGCGGTCGCGGGAAATATAAAAAAAAGTGCTTACGTGTCATCGTCGGCCTTAAGGAACCAGTCGGCGTCTCTCTTATGATGCTCGTACACGTAACGGAACGCCTCTTTCGTCTTAGCCCACAATTTATCACGTCCCTCCTCCACTGGCAACTCGACCGTTGGCAAACTTGCGTCTAAAGAGAATTCATTAAAAATTCTTATTGTTCAAACAAAAACGAATGTGTTTTTTTATGTAACTTACTATTTCAAATTATTGTTTTTACAACGTTTTACCCAACCATGTTATTCTGATTTGCACCACTCCCCACCAAGTGGCAGGACGTTTTGAAATTTTCTCATTCATACCAGTTCTCGCTTTTGCTGTCGGTCGTACTTTCATTAAGCTATTCTGTTATAAAAATTAAAACAGAACTCATGACCCAAAAATCATTCTAAAAAGTTTAATAAATATATAATTTCAGCTTATGCAAAAGGCTTCCGAATAAAAAACCGCACTCAAATCGGTTCATTTCTTCACGAGCTGCGGAGCCACACAGACAGACACGTCAAACTTATAACACCCTTTTTTGTGGCGAGAATTGAAAATAGCTCCGAACTTGACCTCGAGTGCAACTTTGTCACAGCACAGAAGTTCAATCAAATAAAACCTACTTAAACATGTAATTGTCATAATGGTTTTATGAATTTTAATGTGTTGGTTTTTGTTACTGAACAGGAGCGAAGTAGATTTTTTTTGGTCAATGCGCTAATCTCAAGAATGTCTCGTTCTAATTGAAAAAATATTATGTTGAATAGTCCATTTATTGAGGAAGAACGAAAGAATAGGCTATATAACATCACGCTTTGACTAATAGTAGTGGAGCAGCAATTAAAAATATTGCAAAACCGAAAAAACCAATGAAGCCACTGGCGGAAAACTGTAGTGCGACCGCCTATCTAGGCACCCCCACCGCCGCATCTTGGCGATGTTATAACAATATTTCGTTTCATTTTACTACTTTGAAATATCTTTTACTACTTTGAAATATAAGCCTATTGCCCACTTACAAAAGGACGCTACATGCACAAAATTGCAAGTAACATAAAACAAAATTATTATTATTAATATAAAATAAAAATTAATATTAGACAATGTCACATACATTGCTGAGAGCGCCCGTATTATGGAGTATCTGAGACAACGAAGGTACAACACCCAGATCAGAGACAATATAGAAAAACAATTTTGACATTGACCAGACCGGGAATGGAATCAGGGAGCTCCGTGAGTCTTGAAACCGGCGTACGAATCACACGACTACGTATTATTAACTATTTATTAATAATCTCAATTCAGTATGAATAACCATATTGAAAGTACCTTCCATGGAGCTCATGAACAACAAGACGTTACATCTTTTCCCCCAGGTTGCTTTGACGTAAGCAGCTTTCGATTTGTGATTCTTGGGCTGAGTCATCACCCAACACAGTACTCGCACTCTCCTGTATAACTCGTCTGCCACACTGCTGTTTTCATATTTATGACCAGATGCCTTTCCGTTTAACTCATGGTTACTGTTCGGCGGAGCTTCTACAGTTTCTATTTTATGACTGAGAAGGTAAAAAGAACATCTTGTATATTCTACTAACTAAAAAGTTCTATCGTCTCCTCCATCTGCAGTCGAGATTGACCCAGAACGAAGATGATAGATAGATCATTATCTATCGACACTTTACCATACCCCTCACCCCCCCACCCCCTTACAGGAAATTCTCCGCAGATCATCGGTGCGGCGCCCGGGTGCGTTGCACCCTGCACCATGGGTAAAGACGGGTTTGATGTTAGCTATACGTACAAAGAAAGACACATAGAGTGATAGGTATTTTATACCAAAGCACCAACCCAGTTTTGGCAAAGGTGTAATCCAAATCATCAATATGTATTATAAAAGTTATTACCTTCTAACAAAGTCCAAATATTGAAAAGAAATCGAAATAATACTTAAACTGTATTAAATATCTTATTAATACTATAAATATGAAAGTATCATTGTTTGTATGTTTGTCTGTCAATCACGCCTAAACTACTTAACGGATTTTGATGAAATTTGGTATACAGGTAGGGTATTAGCTGACTTAGATAGTAGTAGAGTAATAGGATACTTTTTATTCCAATAAACATTTCCCTAGGGACCACACGGGCGAAGCCGTTGGCGAAACTCAATATATTTTTCAAGTGACAAAAATGAAAATACCTACTTATATAATAATTTCTTTAAAAAAACATTTTTACAAAGATGCATTTTTAAATTCAAATTGAATATTTATTTATGGCTCCCAATATTAAAACAGCACAATTACAACTACAAAGAAATGACAAGAGATGGTAAATTTTTCGGAGTAACTTTCTAATTTTTTTCTGTCGATTTATGCATTCACATTCTGGATGTAACAGTACTCTACATTTTTTTATTTACTACGGCTTAGTCAATCGTAAATTTTAATAGAAAACCAGTTTTAAATTATTGATTTCGGTGTTCTTACATAAATTGAAACAAACTCATTATTTATAAACTTACCTAATCGAGATGTTTTTTGACGATATTAAACAAAAATAATTTAAACAAAACCCAACTGAGAAACCGATCACAAGAGTAAATATGTGTGTGTCGCTAAATTTGCACTCTGCCTTAGTTACGGACTGCAACATTTGGGTAAATTTAAGATTATTGCAATTCTAATCCGTATACTTTTTACAAACAATATGCCGATAACGGGCGTAATATTTAGCCACAATGAAACCAGGGATGCGAGTAGGATTATATCGACATATGTCAATGACAATTTTTAATAACAATTATGTACATAAATCTCGTGTAACGATGTGTCACTAAACTCCGAAACTACTGAACCGATCAGTGGCGTAAGTACAGGGTGGCAATTCGCAAAATGCCACGGGCCCCCAGCTGGACGTACTTACTCCTGACATTTATTATGACGAATTTGCCACGGGCCTCAAACTGTATAGTTAAGCCACTGGAACCGATTTTAATAAATTTCAGATGTATTTTTAATTTGTCATAACTTAAAAGATATGATAGTTTTGTACATCAGTTATTTGTCTATATTATACAGCAACGCGTGACCTAGTCAGCTAGTCACTCTATAAAATTACCCCTTGTCAAAAACCAAACCAGCCAGACAAAAATGCTATTTTCTTAACAGAATATCGATACACATTTTATTTAATCGAGTGTTGTTACGGCCCTATCAACAAAAGCTCATAAATTTTATACTTGCGTCTTTCTCATTAAATGTTAATAACCGTATATACATGCAGTATAAAAAGAATTATTAAATTTCAACAGAAGACTGAACAATAAGGTTAATTATACAATAAACTATCGGCGGTTAAAATGAAACAAAACGTATCTCTTACATTTAATTTATTCGATTCAAACAAAATATACATTGAGCAAATTAAATAAATAACATATAGAAATTATCACAGATTTTGTGATATGATTTTTTTCAAAGAAAATGTATTGCAGACTTTTCATGTATAACTCCAAGGAATATCTTAACAGACTTTCATAATAAAATTGTTATATGTTTTGTGAACATTAATAGTCTATAATTGCTATAATTTCTAATTATATTATATCATTTGCCCTCCTATACATAAAAAAAAAAAAAAAAAAACTTTTATGTTAATGAATAAGACGGCTCAGTATTGTTACTCAATAATTCTACAAAAATCTCTTTTGGGCTTTCGAGCAGGATGCACATAAAACAAACTTTATTTAATGGATCATGTCAAAATCATATTATCTTACTAAATTATTAAATACATCAAATAATGCAACAAAGTGTTGTTATTCTGTTGAGAACAATTTTTTGAAATATTTGGAGTACAGTAATTACAACCAATATGGCTCACTGATGCTCATGCGCATCGGGCTAAAAAGCGCGGCAACTGTCGACCAATCAGAATGACTCAAGTATCGCGCCATTGAGTCATAGACCCAATTGGGTTATAAAACAAAAAACGCCAACTTGAGCCCTGTATGCCAATTCTGCTACTTGACTTGCTACTCAACTACTTGCATTTTACCATTGTACTATCTACGTAAAGTCCAATATTATTAGTTTAATGTTACACATCGATGGTGACAGACATATTATAATATTGGACTTCTGGCCAACTGAGCGAGCCATAATAGCGTAAACTCGTAGGGCTGTCACTTATAGATTAGTCAAGGGGCGAGGTGCCACTCGTACCTTGAGCATTATTAACATCGATAAATTTCGTAACGTGTGTAAACAACGCACACATACGGGCACGCTCACATAAAACCCATTTTATCTGCGTATGTATAAAATCAACGAACTCTTTTAGTTTTACTATGATTGGGCTGGGCGATTGACCTCCGCCGAATGTGAGACGGATATTTATGGCATCGTATTTTCACTTTACGTTTATTAGCAACAAGACTCATTATACATTTTAATTGCACGTTCGTTCATTATCGGAATTTGTGTTTTACGCAAACGAAGAATCGCCATGCGCCAATTTAGTTCGAACTTACTGTACCATTATTAGAAATATCGTTTACTTTTACATAGGCACTAGAGATATTTTACAGCTCTTGGAGACAAATTTAGAACACAAAGTATGCTTCATAAGAAATTAATTATATAAATATAAAAGATACAAAATCATTTTGTAACTTACATAAATGAGTTAAAATAAGATTGAGTTTTAACAAAAAATCTCATTATTGTTTATAAAAATATTTTTTTTTATAACTTAATTACATGGAAATAAATAAAATATATATTATTTTCTCTAGAATCTACTTATTTTATTAAAGAAAATTCGCAATATAATTATAAGAGTGCAATTGTACAAACTATAAAAGCATAGATCTAACGTAAAAATAATAAATTCACTGTTATTCTTATTCAAAATAAGAGCTTATACTCTGGAGATAGGTATTAAATTGCTTTCCTGAAGTTCGGTATATAAGTTCCAGTTGCTTTACTTTCATTGTCATATGTCAAATCAAAAGGGAAAATATATTTAATATCTACATACTAATATTTTAAATGCGAAAGTAATTCTGTCCGTTACGCTTTAGCGCTGAAACTTCTGAGGAGATTTGAATGAAATTTGGTAGAGAAGACAAAAAGTAAAAATCTATATATGAAATGAACGTATTATATTAAAAGTACAATTTTCCATTTAAAATGGATACATTGTTTTAAAAAAATATATGACAGTATGTAATATATTATAGAAAGCCGCCAACAATCCCTCGTATTTTCAATCGCATTTCAATTAAAAATAATTATGCTTAAAATTATCATAATAATCTCTAATCGTAAGAGTCTTTGGTTATTTTATAAAAGTTTTTAACTTAAGACTAGACCACTAATGACTAAAGAAAGTTATTCATTAAAAAAAATGCTTTTGTGTATCATTGTGCAAACTGGACACAACTACATAATATTATCAATAATAAAATTGCCACAAACGTGATCCAGAACTTAAAAAAGGTCAACAACTACCCGAGATTTAGTCGAATGCAAGTAGAACTATGAACGAAATGCCCGCTTTCACTAACCTAGAACAAGGCATCGCTTAACTAGAAATCACTTAATATTAAGAATAGCTTAAGTAGATTTGTCGTTTAAGTTTGTATTTGTTTGTGTCCCACGTAGGCGTGGGACTGACCGGCAGCCGACCGAAATAAATATTTTTAAAATGTGACGTCACAACTCTATAAGGATTGCTAGCATGGCCAAAATGGCAGAACTGCGGATGACTACAAGCCGTTAATCTTGGCAATATTATTTATGTTTTCAATACGCAACAGCGATTGAAGATAGATATACATATAGTGCACACACACGTCTCATCATGTTACTGCAATAAGCACTTGATTATGAATCAATTATTTTGGTGGATAGACGGATAAACGCTCTATTAGACATACGTATATACAGAATTTCAAAGCAATTTTAAAGTTATGTGGGTTGAATCCAGTTTGCAGCAATGCATTCAATTTCAAATTGAAAACATATTTATAGTTTATTCATTTTTGATACTTAAAATATAAGGTACACATTATAACAAATCTTATTGTTTTGTTTTCTTAAACATAATAGGGATGATGCCTGGATAAAACAAATGAAACCCTTTTTAGTCCATCACTAAGATAATAGAAAAATATTAGATACACATTATTAGCTTCAAGTTGACAAGAAATTACTTAATTATAGACATTAAAGGTCCCACGCCTTGACTTTAATGTAACTACGTCATCTCACTACGTCACAACTATGTAGAAAATCTACTGAGATGTGACATCATGTGATATGTCAACTCAATATATCGTCGTAATTTATTGATTACGCAAAAACACGTACGAACTGCGCATGCGTGCGCCTTCTTATTCATATTCAGCGTAAAACCATAGACTAGTTTAATGAATCAAAAAAGATAGCGGTACTATAATGAGTTTTATTTTTAATTTTATGTATATGCGTATATGAAGTGCGTATGTATAGAATCGTCTTTGAATTCGTAATTCGAATTTTTCGATTTGAGTGTGGATAAAATAATTTACACATCATCCCTATTAAATATTTCTTGGAATTAAAAAAGCTTAATATTTATTGATCATTAAAGTAAATGCTGAAATGACCCTGCCATGAAGTTTTCTTTTATATTTACACTATAGTTAAATATATTTATACTAGTTAGGCGATTGACTTAATTATAGGTATTATGGCAAGAATGCGACCAGTTCAAACATTTTATGTTATATATATTACCAATTTATGAAAACTAAGACTAATATAAAGGAACTAAAGTTTATTATATACAGGAAAAAATTGTTGTCAGTTAACAAATTTCAACTATCGTCAAACATATAGATACCTATATCGGCGATACTACAGACAACAATTGTGTACCTCACAAAGTCCATTTTGCTTGTTATATTATTACAGGCCAAAAGGTCTATTGTTAATGGTTGAGATTGTGATAATGTTTTTGGTTATAGCCTTTCGAACTTTATCGGTATCGTATCGACGTCAATGCGTGTCGATGCATTAGTATACATCAAACAGTAGTACAGTACAGTAGGTATATCATAAGTAGAAAATATTTTGTTTTTAATCTCTTATATTAGCAGCTTAAAAGAGAGAAAAAACCTTAATCTGATTCACCGAACACGATATTCAATTATGCGCACTGCTTACAAATTTTTCCTGTGTATATATATTTTTTATCAATCTATCTCATGGTACTCCTTATAACAGTATAGCAATTGCAAACTGCATGCGTTAAAGTAAAGTTTTAACAGTATAAAATGGAATATTTTATTTGCAATAAAAGCAATAGCTGATGAGTATTTTTTTTTTGTAAAAAGTTTTAATTCTAAAAGGCTTTCTTTAAAAAGAATAGTTTTTTTTTAATTTACATTACTTCTAAATAAAATAGGTTGCCTAATTTATATTCATTTGCGAAAGAGATTCATAAATTAAAGCAAAAGCCATCATTGAACATTTCAGGTTATAAACGCATCTATTTTTATTATTCCGACTTATATTAAAACTAATATTTATTTATTATCTAAATCACCGTAGTATATTTAGGTCTTTAATAGTTACTTATATTTAAACATATCTTTGACAACACCAAACGGGTAAATCAAAACTGTGAATTTTATCCGATTGATTTTCATCCTTATTCTATAAAAAATAAAATTTAAAATTGATTAGTTTTGTTTTTGCATTGCGATTGCTGCTGATGATAAAAGAAAATTCAATCAAAAATATTTATGGTATTAGTTACATTCGAGAATATAGATAATTTTAATATATTGTCACGAATATCATTCACTTTTTGATATATACAAAGTTGTTACTTTTTACAATCTCAGAAAATGGATAAATAAGTAAGACCGTATTTACAATTCAAAATAAAAAATAAATCAGACTCGTTATGATGTTGTGTTTGGGAAAGGCAAGGGAATCATTATCTATACATCCATATTTTTTTAATACTACCTTCCCCGTGTAACTATTTTGAAATTGCTTGTATACTCATTAAAATCACGTTAAGTTTTCAGAAATGTTCACATAAAATTATTCCACAATAAAATATCAAATAACAATATCATTGAAGGAAATCGATATTAATTAGTACAAAAAGAAAAACTCGTAATAAAAACTTCAAACATTTACCCATTTCCTTACTAATATTCCTCTAAAATTCAATTTTATAACTGGAATTGTAAGTTCAGAATCTTTCACGCCCGAAAGACTAAAGGTTACATTAGAAATATTCACAAGTGATTCCTAATAATATCTGACTAGCGTACCTCCAATTCTTTGGTGTCATTCGCCCTTAATATCTTAGGTAAATCATCTTCGCCGAACTTGATCCCGTACGGCCGAAGATGATATATTAGATAATCTAAAACGTACATGAGTTTTGGATCCACGTAGTGAAATGAGATAGCGTGATCCGAACAGCAGTCTAATCCCTGAAAATGGAGAATGAGTGACTTATCTCTATCTATTTATAACCTGTACGAATTAAAATGACACCCGAGGGCCTATTCTGTTTGTAATCGAACGAAAATTCGGAGAATTTCGAATCGTTCTTATGACGATTATCTGTACATCAGAGGCAGTGTCAGGTTATACCCGCGTGGTAGCACCTCTTACAAGTTACTATTCTTTTTTTATTATTGTTCCGACATATTGCAACTTGTGTTTGCAAATAGAATACAGATCATAAATTTTAATGTAAGAACCTATATAGTATGAACATTCATACGTATAGAGACGTAATGCTGTCTCTATACGTATGAATGTTCATACTATATAGGTTCTTACATTAAAATTTATGATCTGTATTCTATTTGCAAACACAAGTTGCAATATGTCGGAACAATAATAAAAAAAGAATAGTAACTTGTAAGAGGTGCTACCACGCGGGTTTCTACAAAATGATTGCATAATCTATTAACTCTATAAATAATGCTCTATGGTTTAAAATCGACCACAGAAATCTAGCATTTGATATAACTTGGTATTATTTTAATGTCGATAAGTTCTTAATACTTTATGCCTTAACTTTCGAGATTAATGCGAATGCGTCATAAAATAATAATAAACAATAATGTGTAAAGTGGCAGCCCTATCCGGAAAAAAATGTGTTTAGATCTCACCTCATCTGTGGGGTAGTAGATATATTTCCAATACCAGTAGCTTCTATCCTTGTTAGGGAACAAATGGTCCTGTGGCACAAATGGGAAGAAGCGACCTCTATGCAACGAGTCGCGGGAATCCATCGCCTTTACGCCAATTTTATCCAAACAGATACCTATTTTAATACTATAATTAAAACGAGAAGCAAATAAACAAATTTAGGGAGTATAATTGATCAGTCGAATTTGTTTATAGCTATTTTCAGTCGATTACTGGCTCATTTACATTGTTCGACGAAGCCCGCATATGGACTGCGACCGACCTCTGCGGTTTTATTTATTGATCAAAATTATCTTATTTTTCTATATTTATAATGTATTGATCTGGTAATGACATGGTTTTATTAATGTCGTTACTCTTATTAGAATTTCTTGGTCGTTCTTCATATCAGCCGAAAGATGTCCTGAACTAGTAGGGAAAAAAATGTTGGACGATTCAAAAGTAGTTTTAAGAAGTCTATTTGAATAAAGATTATTTTGACTTTGACTTTGGTCCGATGAATCGATGATCGAACAATGGAAATCATCATCACTAGTCATATCTTTGATGACTTGCCAATAGTAACGGGGCATGTTATATCTACCGAATTCCTCAAATTTACTTTCCCATGCAGACTAAGCAGCGGGCACAACTAGTACCCAAATAAACTAATTTATTTTAATATAACAAAATGATAGATTTAATTCAGATTGTGTAGCTCGGTGGCGGGAGTAGCTCGGTGGCGTAGTGGATAAGCGCCGCGGCCCGCGATCGTGATCGTTAAGCAACTTTCGCAAGGGTCGGTCACGGGATGGGTGACCAAAAAATTATTATCTCGAGCTACTCCGTGCTTCGAAAGGCACGTTAAGCCGTTGGTCCCGATTCCATTTGCAGTCATTAATACCCTCCAATCCGCATTGGGCCAGCGTGGAGGGTCATGGCCCATCCTCCTTAACCATCCATAAGGAATGCCTGAGCCCCTGAAATGGGGACGTAAAAGGGCTGGTGGTGATGTGATGAGTGACTCAAGAAAATCTTCTATTTTAAAATCAAATGAAAGGGTTGCTTGTGTCAACTCATATTATGAAATGACTTAAGATATAACTAGTCTGCGTCTTCGGAATATGCCATATTGGATTATAATTTTTTTTCATTGGAAACTGTTGTTATCTAAACGAAACCTGGATGCAAAATCAACCGATTGTTGAGAATAAATGCTTAAAAATTCGGTTTCAAGATAAAACGAACATACATACCACTCATCCGAATTAACATTACACGCTGGAATGACGTTCATTCAAAGTACAAAGTGCAAAAAGGTGTGATATACAATTTAATTAAATATTTAAAAAAAGGAACTTATTAACAAACCTTACTTATTAATAAATTTTATCTGAAAAAACTCAACAATCAACAAAAAACATCAAAACGTAAAAATATCCGATAAAAATATCAATTAGGTATATAAAAGCAAAATAATAACTAAATTCCGATCTTCAAGTCTATGAAGTACCAAGCCATGTGTTATGTTAATTCGCACGAGTAGTACATTTAAGTTAAATAAAAACAAAAAAATAAGGTATGTTACCGATTTCAGCATCTTCCGCTCCCTCGTCGCTGGCTTTACAAAGATGTGGTGACGGCAGGGCTTTATTCACGAACATATCCAGAGCAGACCGACTCAACACGTACCCCGCCCCACCGCTCATGTAACCCTTGCGTAGGATATTATAATAGATCGTATATTAGTCACCATACTAAGCTATAAAACTTTATTAAGTTAAATAAAGAGATCAACACATCAATTATAGAATTAATGATATCGTATAAAACTTATATTTAATTACGTGTATAAATTATTTGCATATTTGTATACAAACCTGTTTAGTGAACGGTTTAAAACGGCAACCGAAGTATATATCATCTTTGGGATTGTAATCTGCCAGCATGTATCTGAGGTTCTCCACCACTACATATCTGTAATGTTAATTATTAATTCTGAAAATTATCGACACTGGTCCGCTCTTTTTATGTGATTTCATTGATAGAAATAATGTATGCCCTAACAGTGGGGCATTAATTCAAACCACTTATGTGAATTTTCTAATATTTATTTACTTGTATCAGAATCCGAATCCACGTTAACTGATAAGTTATAATACTAGATATGCAAGCCAAATAAGAATAGGATCGAGTTAGCAATGACACGGCTTAGCTGTCATTTTAGTACTGACAGCAAAAAAAAAATTCGCTCAACATTTTTTGGATTCGTTAAGTTTATACATATATGAATTGTAAGATTTATCATTATAATATAATACATTCCAGGCCATATAAGTATAAAAGGAAAGAACTAATTTCTTGAATGAAAAATGCTTAAAAAATCCACCCGTCGCAGGCATCCAGAGTCGGATTTTTTGAACGTTTTTTATTAAAATTTATTTGTCAGTACAGCAATGCGAATTGACTAATTAATTAGAATTTATTTATTTAATCCTTTTTTCCCTATAGAATAAATAATTAATAAAAAAATACAATATATCAGTAAGATTAGAACGAGTTTGGACTCACGTGTCATCGTCGGCCTTCAGGAACCAGTCGGCGTCTCTCCTGTGACGCTCGTACACGTAACGGAACGCCTCCTTGGTCTTCGCCCACAGATGGTCCCGACCCTCGCGTACTGGCAATTTCACCGTCGGTAATGAAGCATCTGACAGATAAAAAGAAAAAAATTGTATGCATAACAATAATTAAAGAGCGCGTACCCCTCTGCACTGGTTATATATATATATATATACTCAAACATTGGCCATCAGAATTTAGGCAATGATATATGTAAGTTGGTCGTCGTGCCAAGCTAACAGGTAGGTATAAGATTTAGTATATACTAACACTACCACAATATATACATAAAAGGAACAGTAACTCGACTCCATACAAATGGACAAATCGGCGCTCACACACATTGAAACGTTGTTTACGCGGCCGCCTCACTCTGTGTCACGCCATGTACTGGCTGATGTGCTCAAATCTCCTGTCAACCTCCCGACGATTTCATTAAATTAACAAAACGTTTTTGATGTAATTTTACTTTTTGTAGGTACCAACCCTAACGCTCTGTTCAGCTGTACGTACAATTATTGAGAAAACGCCCGAGTTGAGGTACTGTATGTTTTATGTATTGTGACACTACCTTATCCAACACAGGTCCAAAGAAAATTAAAACCTAATGACGGGTGGCCCTGGGATCTTACTCTATAGCATGGTCTCCGAACAGAGAATTTCGTACATTGACCTTTGAGCGTACTCATATCGTGATATAAAGGGAGAAAAAAGCAGCCCTTGGCGAATTTCTTGCCGGTTCTTCTCGGTAGAAGGTCTCCCGCCGTAGATTTACGAACCGATGGCGTAGCTCTCGACTTTCACAAGTGCTTTTAACAGCCTAGACTGAATAAATAATTTTGATTTTATTTGATATGATATCGTAAACATTTTCAGTGCTATTAATAAACAAGGTTTAGCGTCAGAGTAAATTTACACTAAAATCTCAATTTTAGTATTAGCCCAAATTCATATTATACAGAGAATAAGCAAACCTACTTCCTTCTAGGAGTAAATATTACTCTCGTACAACCTCGTCGGTTAACCTTTGCTAAGTCACTGTTTAATTATATAAATTTAGACTAATACTAAGTGCATTCTTAGCGTAAATTTACTCCAACGCTAAATCTCCTTTATTAATTACACTGTTTAAGGTTCACTTTACTACTTCAAAACATAAGCTAGACGACAAATATAAGCTAGACGCATCTGTGAAAGAGATATGTAATGGCGGGTCATAGTACGATTTTTTTTCTCTTCGACGACCGTACTCTAGTAACACTGTTAGTTTCCTACCTTCCTCCGAACTCATAAACAATATCTTGTTGCATCTCTTTCCCCACGTCGCTTTCACGTGATCGGCTCTCCTTCTGTGGTTATTCGGTTGAGTCATCACCCAGCACAGCACCCTGACCTTCTTAGATAATTCATCGGCGACTGATCTATCTTCATGCCTGTGCGCTGGCTCATCGCTACCATGCCCTATTACGGCTGATATAGGATGTTTTTCAATATCTCTCGCTGACTCTCTGAAATAATTCCAATTTCAAGGTACAATTTTAACAGAACTAGAAAATATATGACAAACACAGATGCATTGAGATGAGCTCAAATGCTATGCAAATGCTGATTTAAAAGTTAGACACCGACAAATATGAACGTGTATGCATCATGTTGCTTTAACCCCTACAATAACGTCGCGTTAAAAAGCTGAAGTTGAGTATGATCCTTGAGTAGAACTGATTCAATCATTTATTTTTCTATTTTCTAAACATATGTACATCTCAATAGTAATGGAAAGGGAAGCAAAAGAACTATTAAAGGCAGTGTTTATAAAAAAACATGGTTATGAACTATGAATGATGATGATATTGAATTAATACCAACGCCAAAATTGCAAAGAAACATTGCGGAGTTTAAAAAAAAATATAACAATATCTCAAAACTAAATTAAAATATATTAAATGCACATATTGATTATTATATTTTATCAAATTTGCATTCAAAATGCTATACTGAAAAATACTCTTAATGAAAAATGCTTAAAAAAATCCACTTGTCTTAGGTAGGTTAACTGCTCTAAACACTGAGCTATCCAGGACCTAACAGGATTGTCGAATTTTTCAAGCATTTGTAACTTTTTCACTACTACAGAGCGTATTTTCATCAATGCTCAGGCAATCCAAACAGCCGAAAGAAATATTTTTACAAATATTTAAACTTTCTATAGAGATGAAATGAAAAGAAGATGAATCCATTCAAAATATTGTCCTTTATCATGGGTTCGAGTCTCATCTCAGAGTACCAGTGGCAAATTAATTGTTCAAGCACTTTCAACTAAGAATATAGCACATTTTAATTTCACTTTTAAAATGACATCTAACAAAAATTTATAACATAGTGAAAATAAGCTCAAAACACACTTTTCGGCACATGCAATGCACCGCTTCCAATTAATTTCTTTATAATCTGCTATTCCATGATGGTTTAAAGTTGCCTATCAATGCTAATTGTGTAAAATATGCAACTAATAAGGCCACACAACACTAAACTTATAAATAATATATAAATCTGTCAAACTCGACACTCTGTTTCAAAAGATTCAAGTGCATGAGCATAAAATTGGTAGACGATTTCAGAAACTAATTAATACATATACAAACCTTAAGGCTGGACTGGGGTCTTATCCAAAAAATCTATAGACAAATGTTTCATTGTTTCTAAAATAATCCAGCAAACATATTTTCTAAAATACTGTGTAAGCTGCTATATGGTATATGGTATGTAAAAAGGCATTGCTACTTATATTGGCATGATCCACGATATGGCTTGAAAAAAGGTAACGAAAATAAAAAAAAGGTAATAAAGGTAAAAGAGAAGGACAATAGTAATTTGTATTTCTTAAAATAATGTATTATTATGAAAATGAACGATTACCTAATTAATATTCATTAGCGTCGTTAAATATTGTGTTAAAAAAAGTGCTATTTTAAAAAACGTACAGTAGAATTAAGAACCTCCTCCTTTTTTTGAAGTCGTTTAAAAATACATATTAAGCATATTGCTTTATTATTGTTAAAATCTTTTTTTATTAGAACAATTCGAAAACTTCATAATTTACAAATAATACATCATCCGAGGATTAAAATGTTCCGCTGAATATGAAAAAACAGCTTAAATTATTATATTATATTCTTTATTTTCGTTATCAATAAAACTGTTAAGCTTAATAACTGAACTATAAAGATTAGCGTAACTCAATGATGTTTTAGCGTAACTAGCGTTTAATTTTATTATTATAACGAATTCGTTTTACGGATACAATCTTGACATGAAACCTTGTTTATTACACTCTGAATACTAAGTAATTTAGTTACTTTTGTTTAAACCTCTGGCTATCCATGAATTCCTCTTAAAATTCTAATCATAATTTTATTATGAAATAAATTCGAAGTAAAAATTTTTTTTATTTAAATTAATAACATTAAAATAACTAATATTTATCATTTTCCACTCCGCCCAAGTACCAGAATACAATAGAGTTTTTTCCTATTTTCATGAAATTCAAATAAAACCAGAAGGAACATTAGACTAATTTTTTATTTTTTTATTTAAAAGGACATCAATATAGCTTTAATAATTCTTCATATTCTTAAGAGTAATATTTTAGTAAAGTCATTTACAATCTATTTGAAAATAACATAAAAAAATATATCCTGTAAAAACATCAAAATCAAAACACTTGCATCAGCATGCAATACACATACAGCATAGCATACATATATGCGCGCCCACATGCAGCATGCGATCGCTTATAACTGACCTGTAGGATGACCACACGACGTCACGAGGATATCCTGTCGATGTTAATAGTATGTATGCAAAACTAAATCCTGCCGATATCCCAATCACCAGAGTTAGCACAAAACGTCGACCCATCACCCGAGCTTCAGCCTGTACAGGGGAATACCTCAACAACTTATACATAGTAGAGAAAAAAAAATTTTTTTTGCACGCTAGTGTGTTCCCGCTACGTTTAAATAACGCGTATTGTTTACAACGAATGACGGCGTATGACTGTATGAAAATACCGAGACCACGTAAGTCTCTCACTCGTTAGGTCGTTGTAAATAAATATTAATAAAACAAATTAGTCATATCAGTTTTTTTTTAATGATTCAACCACATATAACAAGCACCCTTGTATTACGGAATACGTACTTTTGTGCCTCAGAAATAATTTACTACGTATTGTTTAGGGGAGACAGACACTAAATGTATAGCGTGATAATAAAATTGCAGTTGCCAATGGCAAAAAATATTATCATATCTTAACTGATCTTTAGTCAGTAGAATTATTTTGTGGAGTAGACTCTCAGTAAGGAAGTATTTTAGATATTCAACCCATACGAGGGTGACATTTTATGTTTTAAAATATACATCTATTTTTGGGTTATTAATTATGCACAATTTTAATATAGTGCCATATTATAGGTTGGTCATGAGTTATTGACTTGATTTATAGAATTTTCCGAAGCCACAATAAATAAGTTATAAGTATAACAATTTTGCGTGAATTATTTAGAATTAAATTTACATCGAACGTGACATTTACTAAAGTAAAATTATTCGCTAAAGCACAATAATTCTGAAAACTTTTTTTATTATAATCTACAAATGTAACATGGACATCACATTATTTACATCTATTGCTGTACAGGATCTATTCAACTAGGTTATATCCATACTGATATAATAATGCGAAAGTAACCGTGTGTGTATGTGTACATTTTCAGCTCGAAACTACCGAACCAATTTTAATTTAACCAAAAGTACACAGATCTAGTGGATCTTGGGAAAGGGCGAAAGACACTTATTGTTACTGCGAATAATAAGCTTAAAAGTTTTAAAATAAGGGATAAAATACGATGGGCGACAAGAACAGAGTTGCACGCGGGCGAATCCGCGGGCAGAAGGCTGATTTATAAACATCTAAACAATGTTATCATCCTCCACATTTATAATTTCATGACAGGATGTAACGATAGGAACTATTCTGGTGACAAATTATCGTAAAAATTAGATATACCGGTTTACATAAGCGTAGGTGTGCGCTTCAATTGTTCTAATTGGTTATATTACCGACCCAATTTGTTTGTTCAATGTATCCACGTATTCGTATCATTGTGCATTTTAATTTAAACGTTTAAATACATGCTCGTCGAATATCAGGCTACTAATCTTCAAAAAGCCAAGAGTAGATGGCGCTAGTCAAATTGGCGGTTATGTCAGGTGACATTTGGTTTATTTATTTCTTAAAATAATTTGGTATGTTCATCAACGGATTAGGGGTGGACTAGTTTTATTAAATTAAAGATAAATTAGCGGAAAAGAGATATATATTAATTGCACTTTCAACACAACACCAAACAGAGAGTTATATCAAATAACAATTAAAAGTGACAAAGTCAAACATTTCAAAATTAAAAAAAAAAACTGCTGTAAGAATGGAATGAAAAGTATCATGTGTTTGTATAGATTGATTATTTTATGAAGTATGGAATACTTTATTATAAGGTTTATATTTTTAATTAAATGTAAATTCTATATGACCAGTATTTACAACAAAAATTTATATATATATTTTTTTTTTCTAAAAAGACTGACCAAGCTAGATATTATATAACGCTGACTAATAAAATTGAATCGTAGCTTAACTTATACCTAATCTGTTTACCCATACACTTTTGAAAATGCATTTCTCTTACTTTCATCAAAACTACGCATAATACACAAATTATTTTTAATTAATTTATAACCATAACATACTTTTTTTTCCAAACGACGCCAAGTTGTACCTACCTAAAATCACACATTTTTCATTACCCCTGTTGTAGTATTAATAATAAAAAAGACAGTTAATTTATCTCGGCTTTAGCTACATTTATCAAGCAAAGATACTACACTAATATCACTTCAAATTGTTGTGTCCAACAGCGCTGAAAAATTCGAACAATGATTCTGAATATCTAGAATTCAATCAATCTCGCCCTGCAAGTGCTGCTCACAACAGACATAAAAATAATTAGACGAATATGATCGAAACGCTACGATGTCCGCCTATATTAGGACAGATGGTAACCCTATCTTATAACATCTGTCGAACGACAACGAAGATATACTTGAAGAGTAATGGCCTTATTTCTTATCCGCTATTAATACAATGTATTATACGTATTAGCAAATCAGTCGAAACCCACAAACACAGCAGGACATCAGCCCTGCGATTTTGTAAAAATCCAAACACGAATTCGAATCCACTCAAGTGTCCAAATTCCATTCAAAAAGCTGCATCCGCTCAATCTAGAATTGGCAATAACGTTTCGTGACATAAGTGAAGTGAGTTTCGAAATGATATAAGAATAGAATATCTGAGACACGTATAATCAATCAATTATGTTTTATATTTTTATACAAAAAATGGAATCAACTGAATTTCTTCGCTAAATGACACGAGTGAATTCGAATTCGGGTTCGCAGAATCGCTCTGCTAAATACCAACTCCAATATCTCTATTCCGAATGACACCGACGTTATTGTGTTCGTGATGCAACGCTTGCTCTTGATAGAATTGTCCTCACAATTTTACCGGACGTAAAGATTCACGCGATGGACCAAGACATTATATTGTCAATTCGAAATAGGTACTTTAAAATATCCTGTGAGATACTACTTTGATTCATAAACTAAAACAAACACATAAGATAAAGGAAAAACAACAAACGCAAATAACAATATCTGAAATCTCAACAAGCGGAGTGGCTAAGTGTATGGTACTGACTCCGGATAATATTGGCTCTGTAAAATAATAGAACTTTAAAATATAAAAAAGTAATATTTGATTATATATAGGTGTATCAAAAATAAAAACTAAACTATATAATTCGACGCATCCTGAAGTACGATTAGTCCTCCAATTTCAATGTGGACACAGGAATTAATTCATTCAGCAGAAACATATATTTATGAACCTAGTGCAGATTTTAGTACAACAGAGCAAACGTAAAAGTTAAATCTACCTGCATAAACTTAAATTAAATTATATTAGTAGGTTAATTATTTTTGGCAGATTTATGCTCAAACAATATCTAATAATTTACAACACGTAAATTATTGTTATATTTATCAGTTCAAACGTCGATCCGGAAATTTATAAGTGATAATTACCGACGGCGGGTCGCGGGTGCAAATGTGTCTTTATATGTCGCAGCGATTTACTGTCGTCTCATTTAGAGTAGATTAAATTATGTTCCAATTATCAATAACATAAAAATTCACTAACCAAAACTTAAAAAACCGTATAGAAGAATAGTATTATTAGCCGTCTTTTTTAATAAATGAATTTGCGTACTTACTTTACTTAAACATATGTACAAAAATAAGTGACTTTGCGCCGATTTTTTATTCATGATCTTAAACATGTTTATTTATTCTATTCAATAAATAAACTGTAACACCTAATTCCGCGTAGCGAAAACACACATCATCGCGTCATACATTTTATCTTAAGAACACTGAAAGCTGAACCTCGCCCACCATCACCTTTACTGGACATCCAAAAGTAAACAATAAACATTATTATTTGTTTATTGCAAACAAACTGAGGACTTGTCTGTTTGCATAATGAGTGTGAGTATAACACATTGTTTACATTGTGTTTATCGACATATCTTAAGTTGCCGATAAATTCCCAACATGTCTGGAGTGTCAATGACCATAATTCTGAAGTCCTTAAATTCTTGTAAATAAAAAAAATAAACTTTTAATTCAATAATAAGTGTTTATATGATATAAAAGAAAAATTATGTTAAGTAAATAATAGAAAAATATGTGCTAACTTTATTTTTTTATTTTTTTGTAAAAGACAAAAATCAAGAAGTACTAATTTTCATTTTAATATAACAAAAACCTACAATTATAGTTTTCTTTTGTAAAATGATGTAGTCACTATTCATGTTTTATTTGTGTATGTATTAAAAATTTATATGGAATGTATTCAAAAATAATGGAATGTTACATACATGCATTTTATGTGTTTCTAACATTTCTTTTTCAATATTTAACATTTTTGATACCAAGTAACCACTACACAATCGTATTCCCTAACAAAGCATTGTAGTAATTACAAATGCATTTTTATGATCAATAAAAATGAACAACTACTAAGCCAATCAATACACCAGTAAAAGTTCAATGATAAGAAAAAGTAAAAACATATTATTTAAATAAATAAAAATATTTTTTAATATTTACTAGTTTTAAGTTTTAAGTCATAAACTAACTTTACACTAGTCAGTATTTAAAAGTATTAGGTATTTATAACACCAATACCAACTAAGAGGTTAAATGTCGGATAAGAAAAGAGTTTTAAATCGCACAAACAAGTGAATATAATGATAAAAACATATTGTGTGTTTGCTTTCATTTACATCAATTTGTGCATTATTTAGATATAGTTAAACTATATTATTCATTAAAAACAGTGATTCTTAATCTAATTGACTGTCAACCCAAAATATAATAGGTAAAACTAGAAGTCCATGGATTGTTCAGTGTCCTTTAAAAATTCTCATTATCAATGCCAATGTCAAGAAAATCCCAATCAATAGTATATGCTAAATATAATTTTCGGATACATCATATTGAAATGATGCTTACAAAAACTTTAAAATAAGAAATACAAAATTATTATTACCGCATGTAGCACACTCTATACAGTATTATAACATCTTTTATTGAACTTTATTTAACAAAGAGATACAAATCACCTACCATTTCAATAGTAAAAATGTTTAAAGCAGCTGCATCAAACTATAAATTACAAAACAATATATTCATTTTAGATATAACAAACATTATCAATCTAAAAAAAAACATTTTTATTTCTTTCTTTGTTCTCTATACAAAATTTTATAGACTGAATTCTAGAATTTATAAGAGACTAGTGGCCGCCAGCGACTTCGCTAGCGATTATTTATACGCTCCTAATATTTGCAGCGAGATGTTATATAGCCTAAAGCCTTCCTCAGTAAATGGTCTATTCAACACAAAAATAATTTTTCAATTCAAACAAGTAGTTCCTGAGATTAGAGCGTTCAAACAAACAAGCAAACAAACTCTTCAGCTTTATAATATTAGTATAGATTATT